ATACGACCCTCTGTTAAGCTCTTCCGCCACTAACTATCTCATTATAAACCGAGTTAGTCTGGTGCCCCCCCCCCCCTCCCCACATATCTACACCGGGCACTCACTACGCCACCGGTGTCTTCTTCTAAGGCTTACGTCACCAGGTCGAATTTTTTGGAAAAAAAATTATCTGGGACGTGCTTAATATTATTTTAATCGTTTTTTCTTTCTTCGAATAACCATAAACCTTTATATCTCTTTATTATACAGTATTCCCAAGCCGTTTTAAAGGAAATATATGTGTTTTTTCATTGCATGGGTGTCCTTACTTTTTAAAGATCTACGTATTGTTGTATTTACTGTTTAACAAAAGCATATCACATCACATAATGTTAAATATGTACACATGTATTAAAAGATCATATATTCAAAGTTATTCTATTTTATGGCAGAATGTGTTTTGTTCTTATTTCATTATAACTTTGTTTCATTCAAGCATGGAGACACTTGCCTGAGTTTATTGATTTGTATGATTATTCTGGAAAGTAAATATATAAATCCAAATCAAATCAAATCAAAATATTATGAAGTTCTTGAAAGTAGATATCCCTTAAGGTAATCTGATGCACTAACGAATCTCAATAGAGAATTCTGCCAATGATGAGTCATTTACAATAGGAGCTGTTGGAGCTTAGGTTATTTCGTTTTGATAGGCCTGTTTAAAGTCTTTTCTTTTTGTTTTAAACCTTTTCTAAGAAAAGTACCTCGGAAATGTTAAAACAATCGCTGACTCATTGTTTTTATAGATAACGTTCTTTTACGATGTTGACCTTCTCGAGTTGTTCTTCTTCTTTTGTGTTTATTTTTCCTTTTTACTTCACAAAAGATAAGTAAGGACAACCAAGAAAGAATGCGTCACCCCCTGTCATTAGGTACTACAAACAGGTTGTTCACCGATAGAGGGGCCTCATGTAGTTAGACTGTATCAAGCCAGACTTCGTTTATACTTTATAATTCATTGACCTTCTTAAGAACTGACAAATCCTTCAAATTTTGGGATTCTTCGGTTTATTACAAATTGTCTGAATTTGACTAAAGCACTTTTTTTAAATGAATATAATCACTCCCCCCCCCCCAACATCTCTCTCTCCCCTCCCCCTCTCTCTCTCTCTCTCTCTCTCTCTCTTTCTCTTTCTTTCTTTAATGACTTTATCTTATTTTTGTGTCTGATAACATAATTTGAAAGCATTTATCTAAGAAGAATTACGGACTAGAATTCACTCAGGTAAATATTCGTATGATGACTCAAATAGAAATCGCCATGTAATAATTACGCACCAGAAACATATTGCACTATTTTAATGATCCAATGTTTGATGATACTACCCCCGAACCTTTTTAATTAGTAACGGAGGCGAGAAATGAGTAGGCCATCAAAATAATGAAAGTTCTATAAAGTCAAATTTCAAAATTCATCAAATTTCAATGACATATATTTTGATAACCTCTCAATTCAGACCCAAAGTCCTACAAGATGCTACGGAAAGATTTTTTTCAGATGCTATAGCCATATACTTCCTAGGCAGAGGAAGTCACGGGAAACACCCCACTCTCCCTTCCATTCGCTTTAAAACTGCATCAGCATGTCAATTTTAAACAACAACAAAACCAAAACAAGTTTAAAAATCCTAAAAGCTCCTTCGGTATCATCATCACCACCATCATCATCACCACCACCCATCATCATCACTATCTGCACCACCCTCATCATCATCATTATCATCATCAACATCATCATCATCACCACCAACAACATTATCACTATATACCGCCATCATAATAAGTGCCACCATCACAACCTTTATCATCATGATCGTCACCAACTCCCATCATCATCATCATCACCATCATCATCATCACCATCACCATCATCATCATCTAAACGAAGTAACTCAAGAAAATCACATACCACCAAGATACCACAAAACGTATCATGCACGAATATGCGCTTATTGCTTTTTTACACGGTTAAATCTATTTATATCAAAGCATTATCACATGCTCCATTAATCATGATTCCGTGCTTCGTACTTTTATTTCGTTGACTGTAGAACACGAAAAGGGCTTACAGCTGACGGGATGTTAGACCACATAAAACTAGGACAGATTTCTGTCACCTTCCGCCAACCCTCGACTGAACCTTGATCAAAGTTTCCCTTTGCAAATTCCTATTTGAATCTCTCTATAAGGATCAGAGAGAGATAGAGAGAGAAAGAGAGAGAAAGAGAGAGAGAGGGGAGAGACAGACAGAGAGAGAGAGGGAGAGAGAGAAAGAGAGAGAGAAAAAGAGAGAGAGAGATAGAGAGAGTGGCGAGAGTGAGAAACTCGATACAAAATAAAAATCAAATTCATTCATAGATAACGTAAATAGGTTATCAGCACAGTTTCTTATTTTTTTAGGCTGAGTATCTCTTTTTATCTCCTCGTATACGTCGCAGAATAATATATTCGCTTCTTCTTCTCCTCCTTCCTCACTTTCTTCCTATTCCCTCCTCTTTTTCTCCTTCTCTCTCTTCTTTTTCTTCACCTATTTTCCTTCTTTCTCTTCTCTCTCTCCTGTTGCCCTTTTTTCCCTCTTTTTTTTCTTCCTTCCTAATGCTCCTCTCTCAATATTTTCCTTCTTCTTCTTCTTCTTCTTCTTCTTCTTCTTCTTCTTCTTCTTCTTCTTTTAATTCTTTCTGTCCTTTCTCTTCTCCCTTTTCTTCTCCTCCCGCTTCTTATCATCCTTCTCGTTCCTGTTTCATTTTGTTATGCTTAATTCATACTTGTTCAACAGCATTTGTATGAATAAAGAGTTTAAATAAAATATGTTTGTTTTCTTAATGATGTTATTTAGACAACAGTCACATAATTTTTATATTGTTTCTAAATTCTACATATCCATTTCGCATTCATGTAATATCATCTGTTGGCATTGATCCATATTACTTTGACATGGAGTAAACGCACTTGCGCACTCATCTTTTTCAGATCTTCAGGAATATGACCGTTATTGTTTATCATTTGGCAAATACTATAGTTAAATGTTCAATCCCAAATGACATATGTTATAGATCTATTCGGGTGATGGTTCAGTTGAGCTTGCATGAGCATGAAGAGAATGGCATAATGACACATAGCAAGCACCTTAAACTACGAACTAGCCCTACCGAAAAAAAAAACCTGGTCTTGCTGCACAGTTCTCCAGTAATTTAAGGTACAAGACCAGCTAGAACATCATTCACAGGTGCTCTAGTAAGACAGGTTATACCCTACTTACTACTACAGCTAGCCCATGTATCATCCAACCTGATCTCCCATAACTCTCAATGCATCTACAACTATACATCACCCTGCACGTCGCTGGCTGTACTGTCTACGGCATTACAGTAACAATTGTGAGACAACAAGAAGTTCTCAAAATTGGCCAGACAATAGCAGTATATATAATTATATACAATTGTACATATGATGATGATGATGATGACGATGATGATGATGATGATGTGGATCCTGATCAAATGATTGGCTGAGAGCGTACACGTGACCAGGCATTTATTTTGCCTAACGCGTAATTTTGATAATGACCAGTCATTATCAAAATAATGCTTATGACCGGTAATTAGTCTAATCATGTTATAAAACATTATTTTATAAAACAAATAAAACATCATCTTATAAAACAAATAATACACCTCAATTTGTTTAGGTATTAATAAAATTACCCACACAAGATAGCTTCGAAACAGTCCAAACAAGCCTGTTAGACTGTTCCAAAGGTACCTTGTGTGGGTGACTCTTACTAATGCCCTCACCGCTGTGTATTTTTTGTATACTAATACTTCCTTTGTTTATAATCATTATTGTTAAAGGTAATACAAATTTTTCGGAAATTTTGAAATTGGGTGGATAATGATTCTTTACAATTTTGATATAATTGGATACTCCAGTGGATGTATTATAAGCACTAGAAAATTTGGCCCCTAAACTACTTCTGCTTTCGAGAAAAATTGAATATAAAAATTATCCGGTGCTCCCGGTAAGTTTTGATAACTTTCAAATAGCGCCTACGGTCGTTCAATGGTAGCTGCGACCATGAAAATCTCAGAATATGTAGTTATGATATATGATTTCCAAACGGAAATAACTAATCGGTCGATTTTAGTCAAAAAACATTGTTTTATAGCTTAATTAATATCTTGACCTTGAGAGGGAGCTGTACAACATAGTTTATTATTAACAATTTCATACGTTTAGACTCGATTTCAACCGCGACAACGATCACTGAATATTACAGGATCGCATAATTATGCTTACAATATGTTCATCTGAACGAACTTCATGACCCCATGCATACCAAAACTTTGTATTAGCTTTAATAAAGTAATATTGAAACAAAGTTATATCAACGTATTTGTAATCTCTCTCGATCTCTCTCTCTGTTTCTTTTTCTTTCACTCCCTGCTTCTCTCTTTTTCTCTCCCGCTACTACTCTCTCGCTCTCTCTGTCTCTGTCTCTCTCTCTATCTCTCTATCCCTCTCTATGCTTACATGTACGTCCCCTTATTCTCCCCTTTGCTCTATCTCTCTTTCCCTCTCTCTTCTTTATCTGTTTCCCTTGTTTGGAATCATCTCTTTTCTCTTCTCTCTCACTTACTGTATTCTTCAGTTCGTGAAATATTCAATTCTCTTCGTACCTCATAACCTTATCCCCTCCCCCCTTTCTTACACCCCTCCCCCCCCCCTCTCTCTCTCTCTCTCTCTCTCTCTTTCTTGTTTCCTTTCTTTCTCAGGTTCTCTATCATGTATTAGCAAGTGCCCGTGAACTATTTCTATGTAATGAGTTACAAATGAATTCGGGAGTGGCTTGTTGTTTTAACACAACTTCACTCAATTAACAAATTGAATAAGATTATTAATATGCACACATTAGTCGCTAGTTAAAATTCAAAAGCCAAATACAAACCAAACAGAGTCAAATATCAATTGCATGTAGTAATAATCATATCGTGCTATTTATTCATCCATTTTACCATACAAATATAAAACACTTGTAATGTGCTGACATCACTTCGCATCAAGCTATATAGTCCCTGATAAGCTGAAACGGTTTCAGTTTGAGCAGAGGGGTGTTTCACAAAGAACCCAAGTCGAATTGAACTCTAAGTTGGACTTAAATACTACTGAGATCCATAATAGAAAAAATGAATGATTTGAATCAACATTTTATGCCTTTTAATATAACTTTTACAAAATATTTTCATAGATGCTAATGGCTTTCCATAATTTTTAAGTCCAACTTAGATATAAGTTCAACTTAAGATCTTTGTGAAACGCCCCTCAGGAGAATTCCATGTAAGGTAATCCTCTGATTCTTTCATGCGCAAGTGACGTGTTAACGCTATAAATGATGAAATAGATGATGGCCTCGGGATTCCCCTGACGAGGGTCCGTTGGTGATAGTGGGCGTGGCATCTTGATCGGTTTCCCGGCATCTCTTTTGAATTACCCTTGACAAAAGATCCCCCCCCCTCAGTTTTTCTTCACTGATGACCGCCCCTGGGGCTAAGACATATCATATAGAAACAGTATCCCTGTTAGAGGTAACAACCATACTTAATAGTACGATTCGGTATCTCTATCAACATATGGTGGTCAACTACAAAGTACTAGCAGAGTTCACTTATAATTAAAGCTGATAATAATATGTACAACTTTTCAGTTTTGAACAGCGAGATAAACAAAACTTTTGCAATAAGATAAAACTGAACTTTTTTGAAAATAGAATCCCTTTCTATATCTATCCTTTTACCCACCAACAAATCAATGCATACAACATCTTACATAAGGTCACTAAAAAACTTTACGATAGAAGTATGATAATTATGTATGTAAAAAGTATTACAGTATAAAAACACCAGTGCTTCTACTCAGTACTTCAAATATTGAGCTTTGGTCAATGGAAGTAAAAGTTAGAAAATACTAAGACTACCGATTGTTGAAATAGGACTGATATTTATTTGAAATAAATCAAATAAGGTCCTTAAGCAATAGATGTGTGCTGTTCATCGCTGTAGTTAACACATAACACATGGAAAACGAAATCAACGTACAAATTAAAAAAGAAATTAACATTGTGCATTAAAAATGAAATACCCACACGTCAGCTGAAGTGTGGAAATAGAAACTATAATTATATCATTCATATCATAACACACTAAGACAATTTATACAACCATGGCTAACAGTCCACAGTGATTAGTAATCATGCGCATTTCGTGTCATTTATAAAGGACTCGGTAACTTCTAGGAAGTTTAAGTTTTTACGTAAACTTTATCTTTGGGTTCTGTCATTCATTTCATTCGCAAAGTTATACTTTGAAATACGAAATGGTTTCATACAAGGTATTAATCTACAATATAGTAAAAACATCAGAGTGAGAAATACACATGACAGTACTTTAATTAGTTTGGTATTGTATGAAAATACCTTCAGATCATTTTTTCGAAGCCCAGTGGCCCCATTTAGTTTGGAATGCTGAAATATTCAATCACACCAGATTGATTTATATCAATTTATTAGCTTGACATAAATAAAAAAAAATTGCATTTCTTTGAGCTCTACGATACAAATTTATTAATGATATGCCTTGGTCTTTATAATTTTATATCAATTTCTATAGGAGATATGAACGTTGTTCTAATTTATACCTCAAAATGGCTTTACTGTATTTGAAGTAAGATCACATTCATGCACATCTTATCTTCTTCCCCTCAACTTTTTCAACGCATTCTAAGCGTAAATATGGCGGTTGAAGATATATTAGTACACAATCTGTAAATATGACACCTTTTCTATTTCGTAGAAATAAAACTACAATCAAATACAATACATGGTATAGTGACTGTTTATACAAATTGTCTCGATTAGGGGGATGTCTGTGTTATAATGATGAAAATGGAATGATAAAGAAATGATAATTATAACGTTGGATATAGTGTGCACCTATTCATACAATGTGTAGAAGGTGCTCGAGGTATGACCCTTATTGGTTGACGTTGATAAAAGACTTTTATCAGTCGCAGCGCTGATTGGTTCACAGTGTGTAGAAGTTTGCATGTCGTAACGCTGATTGGTTGACGGTGTTCTGGAAAACAAATCAGAGCGTTGATTGGCTGATAGCGTCGTCGCGCTTATTGGTTGGTGGTATTAAGAAGTTTCCCTGTTGTAGCACTCATTGGCTGATGGTGTCTAAAAGTTCTACATTCGTAATGCCCATTGGTTCTTGATGCTTAGAAGTTTTCCTTGTTGTAGAAAAACTTAGCGCCATCAGGAGTCAAGCTGGTAAACTTATTTGCGTTCTCATGGAGTACTGATGATAGGGCTTTAGGACCGCAGAAGAAAACACCGATACTCGTCCTGGAACATTAAGAAATAATGAATAATTAAATAGATAAAATAAAAAAATAAATATCAAAAGATATTAGGTAAAGCAAAAACATTCGAACACATGAACGTTTTAAAAGTGCTTCCTCTAGTTTTTACCCAAACATGTCATTTAGTATTTGGTTAGCAATACATGATGTGACAGGCGGGGGGGGGGGGGGGTTATGGGTGTGTACCACCCCCCCCCCCCCCCCATTTTGCTGCCAAGTGAAAATGCGATGTGCATAGAAAATGCCATCATGTGGTCCAGACCCACACAGTGTCTGCATCGTCATTGGGTCACCCCCCAAACAAAAACAAAAAATAGATAAATACAAAATAATCGCCTCGCCGCTCTGCATCGTCATTGGGTCGACCCTCCCCCCCCCCCCCCCACCCCCTTAGCAAAACGCTAGAACCGCCCCTGACAGGTTTTGGGCTTGAAGATCAATGGATTAGTACACTTTCTCTCTGTATCATACTATCATCATCTTAAAGGAATACCATAGCGATAACAGCCTTGTCTTTTGCCATGAATACCTCAGGTTTATAATGCAATTATCGTAATATACACATTCGCCTGGTTATTGTGATCCATCAGTTTGTAATTTCTTGTGAAACTGTTGCCATGGTTATTGATAATAAAATAACTAACCTTGGGTTCTCCTCTGCAATCATCTTGAAGTTGGAGTCCCACTTAGGACGACCATAGTGGGTTTTCTGTCTTAGACCGGTGATGGCGTCTATCTCTTGCTCCTCTTGTAGGTAAATGTTCTTTGCCTGGTAGAGAGAAATGAAGTAATGAGTTAACATGTTAAAGATGCTGTTTAACTTGAGAAGTACATAAATCGAAAATGAGTCTAATATGTTTGGGAAGCAAGATCATAATGATAGGTGCAGTCTCATGGAATTCTTTTACTTCTACAGTTATTGATGATAGTTATGATTTTAGAGTAATTCGTACTGCGGAAAAAATGACCTTTAAAATCGAATAATGTGAGAATGGGATTTGATTTAAAATCAATGTTGTCCTTTTAAGATACTGAAACGTTGGTCTTTTTCTCGTTTTTGTTTTCAAAGATGCGTTCTTCACATTTTGAATATTTGAAGACCAAAATGTAATAATCCTCGTAAGTCAAGCACATAGCCTAAATTGTGATTAACACTTTTGTTCCAAAAATGGGTGTAACAAACTTCTTCGTTCATATCTATCCGCCTGAGTTTTACACTTATATGCCTAAAGTTTACACTTATATGCCTAAAGTACAGGGAAAGGACTTTCACTCTTTTCAAAAGGTCTCTTCGAAGATGTTTTGAAAAGCATACGCTTGATAAAGTCACCCACCAGGAAGTTTTCTTAGAGCAATTGAGACAATTTAACGGGGATTGATGTCAGGGTAATTATCCGGGGGTAGTTGTCTGTGGTAGTTGTCCTTGTCCGTGAGTAATTGTCCTGATGTGAACTTTGACCTACCTGTGTATTGTTCCAGCCCCGGGAGAGATAGATGTAGTATTTCAGGAAGTCAGGTTTGCCCTGTTCAGTGAAGTGAGTGTCAATGGAGTCGAGAAGAGTTGAGAACCACTCAAAGGCATTGGTATCGGGACAGATCCAGAAGAAGTACACCTTCTTCAGCTTCAGAGAGGCGCTGTTGTTAACACTCTTCAGCCTGTAGAGGGCGATATAACAAGTCATGAACATCATGTATCCAATTACCCAATCCCTTTTCTTCCTTTTTTCCGTTGACCATTGACAAGTCCGATATAAAATATTTTACCATTTGGCATGCCTCTTTCCCGTTATAGAGTTGAAATTTGATTCCTGATTACTTTGTTCACAGTCTTGTTATAACGATGATGATGATTGTGGTAATGGTTATTTCTCTGAATTCAAAAGAGTGAACATTTGAGATCACTTTTGGGGAAATTGATATAAAATTATTGAGAAATCAACTCCAAGAAGTGGTTTGATTAATATTATTAAGAGTGGAATCAACTACATGTGTCACTGGCTATTTTGAAAGTTGATTTCACTCCAAACGAAGTGATCTCCAATATGTCTCCCCCCCCCCCCCACCTTCAAAATAATAAATAAAATAAATAAATAAAAATAAGATCTTTTTAAATCCAGAATGACATTTATGTGTATTTAAAGATAAAAACATGTCGTAGACGAATGTTTGTTTGTATTTTTTCTTCCAATACCTGAGCAAGAACAAAATGTTGATTTTTTTTGTAGAAAATGAAGAAACAACGTACCAGATAGATTTGAGGATGGAAGCGAAGGGTGTTACGCCGATTCCAGCACCTACACAGATAGCAACCTCGTACTTGAAGATATCAATACTAGCTGTACCAAACGGACCATCAACCGCAACTCTATGAAGAAGAATTTAATAATGTACAAATATGGAGGGAAAAATTAGCAAACGAGAAGTCAATAATCTCATTAAATGACTCTCAGTTACAACAATCGTGCACGCTCTTACCTAATTACAGTCAAACCTGCTTCAGTGACCACCTGTCTACAAAGGCCATTTTTGTTCCCCTTGGGCGGTCGCTATAGACAGGTTCGACTGTAATTAGATTTCTCTGCCAGTTGCATCACAGACACGTAGCGAATGAGAGATGATGAGAGATACATGTATATATGTAGAGAGATATTGAAGAAGAAAGAGAGAGCGAGAAGAGGGCGATGTAAGAAAAAGAGAGCGAGAAGAGGGCGATGGAATAAAGAGCGAGAAGAGGGCGATGGAAGAAAGAGAGAGAGAGCGAGAAGAGGGCGATGGAATAAAGAGCGAGAAGAGGGCGATGGAAGAAAGAGAGAGAGAGCGAGAAGAGGGCGATGGAAGAAAGAGAGAGAGAGCGAGAAGAGGGCGATGGAATAAAGAGCGAGAAGAGGGCGATGGAAGAAAGAGAGAGAGAGCGAGAAGAGGGCGATGGAATAAAGAGCGAGAAGAGGGCGATGGAAGAAAGAGAGAGAGAGCGAGAAGAGGGCGATGGAATAAAGAGCGAGAAGAGGGCGATGGAAGAAAGAGAGAGAGAGCGAGAAGAGGGCGATGGAATAAAGAGAGAGAGAGAGCGAGAAGAGGGCGATGGAAGAAAAAGAGAGCGAGAAGAGGGCGATGGAAGAAAGAGAGAGAGAGCGAGAAGAGGGCGATGGAAGAAAAAGAGAGCGAGAAGAGGGCGATGGAAGAAAGAGAGAGAGAGCGAGAAGAGGGCGATGGAATAAAGAGAGAGAGAGCGAGAAGAGGGCGATGGAAGAAAGAGAGAGAGAGCGAGAAGAGGGCGATGGAAGAAAAAGAGAGCGAGAAGAGGGCGATGGAAGAAAGAGAGAGCGAGAAGAGGGCGATGGAAGAAAGAGAGAGAGAGCGAGAAAAGGGCGATGGAAGAAAAAGAGAGCGAGAAGAGGGCGATGGAAGAAAGAGAGAGAGAGCGAGAAGAGGGCGATGGAAGAAAAAGAGAGCGAGAAGAGGGCGATGGAAGAAAGAGAGAGCGAGAAGAGGGCGATGGAAGAAAGAGAGAGAGAGCGAGAAGAGGGCGATGGAAGAAAAAGAGAGCGAGAAGAGGGCGATGGAAGAAAGAGAGAGCGAGAAGAGGGCGATGGAAGAAAGAGAGAGAGAGCGAGAAGAGGGCGATGGAAGAAAAAGAGAGCGAGAAGAGGGCGATGGAAGAAAGAGAGAGAGAGCGAGAAGAGGGCGATGGAAGAAAAAGAGAGCGAGAAGAGGGCGATGGAAGAAAGAGAGAGAGAGCGAGAAGAGGGCGATGGAATAAAGAGCGAGAAGAGGGCGATGGAAGAAAGAGAGAGAGAGCGAGAAGAGGGCGATGGAAGAAAGAGAGAGAGAGCGAGAAGAGGGCGATGGAATAAAGAGCGAGAAGAGGGCGATGGAAGAAAGAGAGAGAGAGCGAGAAGAGGGCGATGGAAGAAAGAGAGAGAGAGCGAGAAGAGGGCGATGGAATAAAGAGCGAGAAGAGGGCGATGGAAGAAAGAGAGAGAGAGCGAGAAGAGGGCGATGGAATAAAGAGAGAGAGAGAGCGAGAAGAGGGCGATGGAAGAAAAAGAGAGCGAGAAGAGGGCGATGGAAGAAAGAGAGAGAGAGCGAGAAGAGGGCGATGGAAGAAAAAGAGAGCGAGAAGAGGGCGATGGAAGAAAGAGAGAGAGAGCGAGAAGAGGGCGATGGAATAAAGAGAGAGAGAGCGAGAAGAGGGCGATGGAAGAAAGAGAGAGAGAGCGAGAAGAGGGCGATGGAAGAAAAAGAGAGCGAGAAGAGGGCGATGGAAGAAAGAGAGAGCGAGAAGAGGGCGATGGAAGAAAGAGAGAGAGAGCGAGAAGAGGGCGATGGAAGAAAAAGAGAGCGAGAAGAGGGCGATGGAAGAAAGAGAGAGAGAGCGAGAAGAGGGCGATGGAAGAAAAAGAGAGCGAGAAGAGGGCGATGGAAGAAAGAGAGAGCGAGAAGAGGGCGATGGAAGAAAGAGAGAGAGAGCGAGAAGAGGGCGATGGAAGAAAAAGAGAGCGAGAAGAGGGCGATGGAAGAAAGAGAGAGCGAGAAGAGGGCGATGGAAGAAAGAGAGAGAGAGCGAGAAGAGGGCGATGGAATAAAGAGAGAGAGAGCGAGAAGAGGGCGATGGAAGAAAAAGAGAGCGAGAAGAGGGCGATGGAAGAAAGAGAGAGCGAGAAGAGGGCGATGGAAGAAAGAGAGAGAGAGCGAGAAGAGGGCGATGGAAGAAAAAGAGAGCGAGAAGAGGGCGATGGAAGAAAGAGAGAGAGAGCGAGAAGAGGGCGATGGAAGAAAAAGAGAGCGAGAAGAGGGCGATGGAATAAAGAGAGAGAGAGCGAGAAGAGGGCGATGGAAGAAAAAGAGAGCGAGAAGAGGGCGATGGAAGAAAGAGAGAGCGAGAAGAGGGCGATGGAAGAAAGAGAGAGAGAGCGAGAAGAGGGCGATGGAAGAAAAAGAGAGCGAGAAGAGGGCGATGGAAGAAAGAGAGAGAGAGCGAGAAGAGGGCGATGGAAGAAAAAGAGAGCGAGAAGAGGGCGATGGAAGAAAGAGAGAGAGAGCGAGAAGAGGGCGATGGAAGAAAAAGAGAGCGAGAAGAGGGCGATGGAAGAAAGAGAGAGCGAGAAGAGGGCGATGGAAGAAAGAGAGAGAGAGCGAGAAGAGGGCGATGGAAGAAAAAGAGAGCGAGAAGAGGGCGATGGAAGAAAGAGAGAGAGAGCGAGAAGAGGGCGATGGAAGAAAAAGAGAGCGAGAAGAGGGCGATGGAAGAAAGAGAGAGAGAGCGAGAAGAGGGCGATGGAATAAAGAGAGAGAGAGCGAGAAGAGGGCGATGGAAGAAAAAGAGAGCGAGAAGAGGGCGATGGAAGAAAGAGAGAGCGAGAAGAGGGCGATGGAAGAAAGAGAGAGAGAGAGAGCGAGCAGAGGGCGATGGAAAAAAAGGAGAGGGAGAATAAGGGAAGAGAAGGGTAGAAAGAAAGAACGAGACTCTATCTTTGGGCGAAATGAGGGGAAGTACGAAATTTGTTCTTAACTATTATATAGCTTTAACTATTCTTATTTCTCTGTAAAATACCTGGCTAGTTCTTCTTGAGATTGCTGTTCTGGTTTGTCTGCTCCCATTGCTTTGAACAGGTCCCTGGTCCAGTCACCAACAACACGGATATGAACACTGAAATGATCGTCTTCAGGAGCCTAAAGACAAACGATAAACTTTCATTATAAAATAGATTACCCTTTTCCTTCATCCAGCTACCCTCATAAAATTAAACCGTCAAGAAATGTTGTTATAAGGTTAACAATTTGGGAAAAATGCTGTAATAGTTATCAAATTAACTATTTATAAGGATGATATATGGTTGTATGCATAGGCGTATGAGCGAAATGTTGTGAGGGGTCGGGACTGACGCCATTTGCTCGAAAACACAACTTTCCAGTTTCTGGAAGAAAAAAAAGGCTTTGTTATATTTATTAAACATAAACATATTCGGGCATTCACTAAACATGTAGCTGCCCGAATATGAGTTGACGATCGACCTAGTATTTTATAAAAATATAAAAAAATAAAAAATAATCAGAAAGCTGCAGCCCTCCCCCTCCCCCCCCCCCCTCCCCCTCATCGCCTACGCCTTTATTGTTATATTGTGAAATGGAATTGGTAAACTGTACGTTACATTTTATGAAAATAAAATAAAGAATAATCCATTAATTAAATTCAGTACAACTGTAAATACAAATGACATAGCTGGTCTAGAGAAAATGTATAATGAGAAGCGAGTATTGAGGTTTTGTTTAGGTTTGAATTGTTGAAATCTTGCATTCGCATACAAGAAGGCTAATTGACTGATTGGAATGTTCAAATTGGCAACTATCCTGTGTGACACTCACCGATGTAAGAGTAAATGGATGCCACTGCACGTGTGAGATGGAGGGACATTTGAGAAAGATGTACTGACCAGCCTCCATCTTGAATCCTTTCTTCTTCATCTGGAGCTCAATCACCTTCGATTGATGCTTTACAACCTGTAATTCAAAGCCAGAATTCGAAGGTTATTTTGTATTCAAAGTCAATGGAATAGCAAGGTATGCACTGGAAGAAATGGGGGGGGGGGGCAGCCTGCCCGTGCCCCCCCCCCCCCCAACAAAAAAATAATTATATAACAGAAAATTGTTCATAACCTTTCAAATATAAGACCCAGATAAAAGGCTAATGAATTTATTATCATTATTGGGGGTTGCTGATTTTTGTTGCTTCTTTTCGTAACATTGCCCCTTTGCATTTTCTTTTGTACAAGTCAAAATATGATATTTTTTTCGTTTTTTTTTCTCTATGATTCAGCTATTCATGAAATTAGATATAAAATAAGATTTAACAACAATCACCGTGTGTTTTACCGCTATGAAAGTGTAGGGCCCTTTTTTAGTTAATAGTATTAATATCGATTATTCAGGAGCATTAAAACACAAAAAGTACCATAACACATTCATAAAATGTTACCTTGGTTAATGTAACGGTCTGACAGCTCCTCCAAAATCGAATCATCCTTTCAAGCAAGTAGATGAAAAGCGGACCACTCACCCACTTATAACTCTGCGAAGGAAGGTTAACAAATCGGTTCGTTGATTAATAATTAGGGTCAGATCATTTAGTTCCTAAATGATCAATTTATTAATTGCTTGATTGATTAATTTATTGAATGATTGACTGATTGACTAAGTTACTGGTTGAGTGAATGATTGAATGATTTACAATAAGAAAAACAACTTTATGTTAATGGGGCACGCGTGCGAAAGATATTTTGGAAAAGGCGTCTGCCATTTTGGGGATACTCTTGTACTCCAAATTCTTTAACAAGCAAAGAAGCAAAACAAAATAGGTTTCGTGCTGACGAGGGGCACATTTTCTCTGTGGACTTAATGAGGAAGTCCACCCTAATATTGAGTTTGTTTTTAATAAGAGCAGAAAAAAGAGAAAAAAACAAATTAGTGTAAGTTTCAGCAATATCCGACTAAGAATAGGAAAGTTGTGATTAATTTAGTCGTCGTCAGTGAAACACTAATTGGTAACACTGTGACGTATTTTGCGAGCTCCTCTCAAATTTGCTCTGTAGAGAACATGTCGTAACTTACATTTTCCTAGTTATTGATTACGGAATAGAATTGTTTCATACAAGGGTTGTTTACATTTTTGCAATAATTATATTTAGGGTGAATGTATGATTGAACATTTTCTTAAGGGAAAATATAAACTTTTGAGTACAGGGCAATTGGAGTGGATCTCAAATGAGAGTTGCCAATGTGATTGATTGCACCTTCAATAATTCATAACTTACTTATTTTTAATCGATTTTTGCTCAAACTTTAACTGACCTGTTTCTCTCATCTTTTGGCTTCTATTAAAACCAACTAAATATCAGGGTGGACTTCCCCTTTAATATGTACTTGAGGTATGCAAGATTGGGACACTTGCCGTGGACATATGAATTATCCATCCACCCTCCTCTAAGGATCCGCCACAGACTATAAAATGCGAAATGATATGATTGAGGTACTCACTGCAGCTGATCCATCTTTGAATACAGGATCCTCACACTCCTCAGAAGTGGGACCCCATAGATCAAGGTTTTCAGAGCAGAATACTACGTCATGACGATCGAGGTTCGTCTGAGATCGGATGATGCCTCTGGGAGATCGAAAGAAAAACCATTGCATTTTGTAATGAAGAGAGATAAGGATTAAAAAGAAGCATCACATGATAATGTTTTTGTGATGGACTTCTCGTATCGAGTATGGTATGAAACTTTGCCTGCAAATCGATTCTGAATCAATGTAATGTTTGTGACCTGCGTTTTCCTTTCTTTTTTAAATCTATCATCATCATTTATTTAATAGAATCTACAGTTTCTTTGACTTTGTTTAAACTATTTATACCCTTTTTATATATTTGCTTGCATTTTTATATGAATAAGCGAGGTGGGGGGGGGGGGGGGTCTCGGAATTTGAAAATTTGACATTTTTGTTTCGTTGGGGGGGGGGTAGGGTCACTTTTTTAGGTCAGCCATTGGCATAATTTTTTTAATTAAAAAAAAAAAATTATTTAAAAAAAAAAATAAATAAAAAAACTCAAAAGGGGGGGGGGGGGTTCCCAAAAACATACACAAAACATTATAAAAAAAAACTCAAGGGGGGTTAACCCCCCTCCCCCCCTCCCCCCCCCACCCCTGCGTACGCGCCTGGGTAAAGGCATATCCAACTTACCCGACACCATGGGCAAGCAACATGGCGAAGTAGACGATGAAGAGGTGATGGGTGATCCAGAAGGTCTCGAAATAAGAACGCCTAAAATGAGGAGCAAGATAATTATATAGATTTACAAGATTTAATTTGTGAATTTAAGACCGAATGTGTAGTTTGTCCCAATGGCCTTCATTTTAGGTTAGGCCCAGTTACTTTCATTTATTAAGGAAGAGAAAAGTTTTAATGATCTTAATTTATATTTCAGATCTGAATAAAGAATTTAATCGGTTTAAATTAAAACATATTGACTGTAAAAAAAAATTGATTTCATTGACCTCAACCTAATGAATCAATAACCTATGTAAAAATGAATGAAATTGAATTTGATATGTTATAATATATTTTTTTTTAAATCAAATGCAATAATTTGATGAATACGGTAGTGCAAAGGGACATAAGACGGCGATTATTAGTGAGATCCAATGAACTTAATGGTATAACACAAAACAAATTGAACCGAATAGCATTAAATTGATTGAAATGTATTGAAATAAATCGCTAATTCTGACCTGATGAATTCTGTAGCAGAAGAGAACATGAGTATAAGGACTAAGGTGAGAACAGCTCCAGACCATCCAGCGATTGGGATCAGGGCCTGCTCAATTAGACCAAGTCCTGCCGGAAGGTTCTATGGATCAAGGGGAAAGGGGACGTAAGAAACGGATGAAATATGTTCAATAATCGATCGATTTATTTCATTATTTATGATTACCAAATTCTTCTTAAAGCTTCTACGCTTCAGACAAATTTACAGCTTAAGAAAATAGTGGGAAAAACTGGTGAAAATATTTCTAATTACACAGAGCTTAATTTGAACAATCCTTACCAGAAACTTTCTGAAGCGTTTGAAAAGTGAAATACCTTTTCTTTTCTTATTTTTTCCCACATCCATAATGTAACACAGCTCCATGGTATAACTATATTCTACATGTTCCAGTAGCGAAGTGTCCGGGATAATAAATAGAAACTGAAATTGAAAGAATTACGATTATATTTTATTTTCATGCCGATGTCAATTGCTATTAATTTCTGTTTACTATTCTGGTATATTCATCCATGTCATGGTGGAAATATTATAAGTAGAATGGATGTAGCTCAAGAAGGGAGAATCCTGTCAATAAAATCAAAACCAACCTTAGCGCCTTGGATAGGATTCAACCAATTGTCCTCGGGTTTAACTGTGAACTTGCGACCGATTGCAGAGATGCCATCGCATAAGTCATCATTGTTCGTGGTCACACAGAGGTAGTGGTTGTAGAGGTTTCGGAAGTTGAAGGCGTGGGCGACCACGTGAACGATCGTCCAGATGACGATCATGTAGGCCACCGTCTTGTGAAAGGTCAGGTTCTTGTCAAGCTGACGTCGGACACTCCGCCTACAAAGCTGTGAATGACATGTCGAAATGGTGTCTCATAAATGGGATTGTTGTTGTTGTTGTTGTTGTTGTTGTTTTCTCAAGAAGTTAAGAAAAACATTGTCATAAATGGTCTAGTGGATAAGTGAACTAGTGGTCACCCGACTGCAGATCACAAGGTACGGGGTTCAAGTCCCGCCGCGGCATTAATGTCCTTTGGCAAGACGTTAAACTACATTTGTCATTCTCCACCCAGGTGTAAATGGGTACCTGATATGCTTTGCGGTAGTTACTTTGGCAGCTTGGCTACGACCAGGGTAATATGTGTAAAGCGCCATGAGCGTCAGAGCCTGACGGATACCGGCGCTATATAATTAACCATATTATTATACCTATTTCATGGCCGAGTATGAGGATTATTGTCAAAAGAGTTCATAGCAGATAAAAGGGGTAAATCAGAGTAGGTGTCATCCATCGATATATATTTTTGCATGATGAGCTCGCAAGCAGGAACAACAACATCACAAAACGCTGTTCCCTTATTTTCAGAAGCGTTAAACCATGGACCTACTAGACTGGTTAAACTATCTCAAAACTCTCTTACAGGCCAATATGAAGTTTACATTTACTTTTCCCTTTCTGTTGTGTATGGTATAGCTGAGATTGTTCGGCTGTTGGTTGGATCCACCACTGAGTTGTTTTTATGCCTCTCATTAAGCCCTTGACTACTGAATCATCTAATTCACCATAGACTTAACACAGGGACCACCAGGTTCCAGTAAGCAATGGGTTAACTCCAAACTTACCGTGTTGGTAGCACATGATCCTCTGAAGAAAGAGATAAGATTACGACAGATAGGTAGTAAGATGATCATACTGTTCAGGTTTAACGTTGCTCCTGATGCCTTTGCAATTGAGAGACCAACCTAATCAATAAAAGTTATAAAAAATAAACATTAATCAATAAGAGATGTACAAATAAACATTAATCAATGAGAGATATACAAATAAACATTAATCAATGAGAGATATACAAATAAACATTAATCAATGAGAGATGTACAAATCAACATTAATCAATGAGAGATATACAAATAAACATTAATCAATGAGAGATGTACAAATCAACATTAATCAATGAGAGATATACAAATAAACATTAATCAATGAGAGATATACAAATAAACATTAATCAATGAGAGATGTACAAATCAACATTAATCAATGAGAGATGTACAAATCAACATTAATCAATGAGAGATATACAAATAAACATTAATCAATGAGAGATGTACAAATCAACATTAATCAATGAGAGATGTACAAATAAACATTAATCAATGAGAGATGTACAAATAAACATTAATCAACAAGAGATCTACAAATAAACATTAATCAACAAGAGATCTACAAATAAACATTAATCAATAAGAGATCTACAAATAAACATTAATCAATAAGAGATGTACAAATAAACATTAATCAATGAGAGATATACAAATAAACATTAATCAATGAGAGATATACAAATAAACATTAATCAATGAGAGATATACAAATAAACATTAATCAATGAGAGATGTACAAATCAACATTAATCAATGAGAGATATACAAATAAACATTAATCAATAAGAGATATAGAAAATAAACATTAAACGATGAGAGATGTACAAATAAACATTAATCAATGAGAGATATACAAATACACATTAATCAATGAGAGATCTACAAATAAACATTAATCAATAAGAGATATACAAATAAACATTAATTGTTATAAATGTATTCACTTGACTCCAATTAAAAAAGGCAAGGAAATTGTTCAATGCCTCGTTAATCTTTCTCTTTATTTTGTCCAACTTGACTTGAAGCACCTAACGTCTCAACAATGTTTCTATTCTTATTTTTTATTTCCTTGTTCCTGTTACTGATTCAAATATCGCTTCCAATGTCTTTATATCTGAATGTTGTACTTTTTATAATTCTATACTGATTGCATCATTGATGATGATTGTTTGTTTTTACTGAAATGGAAAACGTACGCCGATTCGATGATTTAAAAAATCCCTTCACTGCTATTCATTTCTTCATTAAAAATATTACATCTACATCATGCACCGGTACATATATGGCCATATTTGTATCACCCTTTATGAATCTGCTTGACTTATTATGTTGATTTTCAGAAGAAGAAAAAGATTAACTAACAAGGTTAGATCGATGGCCCTCAAGAAGTTAATTGTTACTCAGATCTGTCTCATAATTATAGATGCAAAGTTAAAAAGTTAAATAACTCAGATCTGTCTCATAATTATAGATGCAAAGTTAAATAGTTAACAAGTTAAATAACTCTGTCTTATAATTATCGATGCAAAGTTAAATAGTTGAATAACTCAGATCTGTCTCATAATTATAGATGCAAATTTAAATTGTTAAAAAATTAAATAAATCAGATCTGTCTCATAATTATAGATGCAAATAAGAAGCAAAAGTCAATCTTACCCCGGTGATACGCCTGATGTAGAAGTACTGTGGTCCTTGCTCGTATACAAGAAACGTTACCACCCAGTATGCAACGTTTGCAGCCAGCCATAGCAGCTATGGGAGAAAAAGTGAGAGAGAGAGGGAGAGAGAGAGAGAGAGAGAGAGAGAGAGGGGGGGTGGATGATTAGTGATATTAACTACTAGTCAAAGCTACTCATAATTATTATGATGGCTTATCATCTTTCTTTAATTTGACACCTTGATCAATAACATCTGGTCATAGACAACTGACCAGGTCATAACATTTCCAAAACAAAGTCCACGGACAGAACAGAAAATATAGCCTTTAACTACTTAATCAATGTGTACACTGTATTGATAGAATTATAAAATCTATATATACATGAATATCATTACTATATATCCCTCACAGAAAATGTATTGTAATGTAGGCCGCGCAAAATCCTCAAAGCGCTTCCTGTGTTCGAAACACCAGCAAATCAAAACAAATTGTCTACAAAAATAGGTAGCAATCTTTTGGGGAGGGGTAGACTTAATCCCACCCCCACCCCCCCCCCCCTAACACAAAATAAAATTGCCAGGCACAATTAGAAAATGAAAGTAAGAACCCCATTATTCTTCTAAAATCGCTCCTGGTATAAATATAATTATTTCATGCATTTACTTGATTGACATGGATAGTCAAGCTGAGGAAATTGAGAGCAGTAAAGAAGATATTATACATGTAGGTAGAGGAGAAAGGGGAGGGATGGAGGCATATTGGATAATGATTCTCAATGATTTTACAGAGAATATAATTATTAACATCAGGTTCAATCGATTTCAAGTTTCATTCATTCAACTGGAAATGGAGGTACATGGGTGTAATGGCACCCGCACCTCCCCCTCAACACCACCAACACCACAAAAAGGTAGACGTTTAACACTTAACATGAAAACCTTTGTGTGCTATAGAGTACTGTATCATTACTTATTTTAACAGAAAAATGTCACGTTCTAACTCTTTTTAATTGTGCAACTGACAAGCAAAGTTCCAACGGCTTCATTAGACACATTTAAACAGACACGTAAATCAAAACAATATTCTAAAGAATTTGACACGAAATAATGTGAAAACCCCTTTGTATAATTATGTACTACAAATCAGAGACATTAATCATCTGAAGACAAACATCTTATTCTGTCACGTACGCCGGCAATGACACGACTAAAATGAAGTCCGGTACTCGAAACGTTGTATTCCCACAGGATGACAATGAAGTGATATCGATTATTTTCGTGGAAATAACAATGAAAATTGGTCTATCGTCTTCCGATGACATAAACAGGATGCAGGAGAAAATAGTCTGCAAAAAAGGGTGTAAAGTGTGGTGAAGACGCGAGCAAAAGAAATTGTGATTTACAGATAATGCAATGTCCCATTCTTCGAATAGATTTAATCGATTTAGTATAATGGTCAAAGAAGTTTCTTTCAGCAACATACAGTGACTGCTAAAGTTATTTTACCGGAATGTTTTTTGTTTGTAACTGTTAAATAATGCACACAATGCTAAATAATTCTGATCTGCAACCAGCATCACAAGTAGGAATGGAATTGAAAATTAAAAAACTACCCCTAACTGTCTAAAATAACTATGGGGCGCTAACTCAAGGCATGCGCAGAAGCCTCCCCCTCCCCCTCTTTCCCCCTCCAGCTGTGTTCAGAACCCAAGATAATAATAGAACCTATACAATTATGTAGACGGTACAGATATCTACTTTTCATAATTTATTTTTGATCAACTTCTACAACTACTATTTTTGATCAACTATATATATGAATAGAGCTTGAATCTGATTTTGATTTCCCGTTCAGACATTGGAGGAAAAAACTAAATATATGCTCCAAAGACCATATTCTAGAGATTTTCTATGTTTTTATTTCGTTTTCGCTTTCAATATAAAAAGTATTATCCGATCCAAAGTAATATGAGTGACAATATCACCGGACGTGAAAAAAGAAAAAAAAACAGTCGGTAGAAACATTAATTTTCTTGAAACATAATGAAATCGATGCTCAATTATGTATGCGATATGTTTAGGCACAACTTAAACATACATCCGAAACATCCTCTTTGTTCTGCTTCTGTTTTTTCAGTAGTGCCTTTGAGTCGCCATGTCCCCAGACTGTGTCTACAAGTCTGAGTGGCTTGTGAAAGTAAACCTGACAGGATAAGGTGCCGTAAACATACCTAATGATAATCTTTTTTTTTTTTTTCTTTTTTTTATAAAGTCAATACCTAAATAGGTACTTTGAACTTCCTCGCTAGAAAGGAAACCCTGGCTTTCGTTTATCAAGTTTATACAGTAACAGAATCGCGATGATTCCACAAATTTCCTCATTAGTTTCATCCGGATTTTGTTTCTTCAAAGCCAACTACATATTATACATGGGATTCTGATTCGTATTATAGTTGATAAATTTAGACTAAATTATTGGGCAAACCCACGCAATTCAGATTACACAAGTCCCATGACTGTGCAATTATAAGTATATCGACATACACCAATAGTCGTTTTCAGTCAGTAAATGATTTTTGTAAATTGTGTTATTGTTTCAGGTCACAATGTTTCAGGTCACTGGGTACGTTGTAACTTTATTGATGCTAACACCTTCACCCGTTGTACGCTAGTATAAGATGAATTTGTATATTATGGTTTAAACATACAATTTTATTTGACGATCTTAGAGATTGTTCTTTTCATTTATTTCTCTTTACATGTAATGTATTTACTTAGCTCTTTTTGTTGTTTGTTCATGACATGCACGACATTACAATAAACTTTACTCAGACAATGGATCGTCATAACTGGAAAAATAAATACAATTAAACTTCCTCCTATCATTCCCCGTATTTCCGTTTCCCTTTGCGTTGCCGTTACTTTGTAGCCGAAAGTTAAAACAACGATAATATTGCTAACGATGATAACAATTATGATGATCATAATATCAATTATGATAAAGATAATAATAATTAAGATAATAATGATAATAATAATAATGATAATAATAAAAATAGTAATGATAATATTACATTTTCCTTATGAAGGATACAACGTTCATGTATGTGCAGCATGAGTAATTTAAACAATCATCATCGCGGCGCTCCCACGGAACAAGGTCAAATTACAACAAAAATGGTTCATTATCCAGAGAACAACATTTCCCTTGTGTTTGAACAAACAATCAGTTGACTGTGTCAATATTTCATTGCTTTGTCATGTCGGGTGTAAAGTCAAATGTTTAACATGTTATTCTTTCCTTTTTTTCGTCCTGTTTGGGATTAGGAAGGGAAATTTAGGACGAATGGGGGGAAAACGTTTCTTAAAAAGGTGGGTTATAGGGAAGTTTCAAATTGAAAATGTATTTACTGACATGGCTTACTGTGGGGTGTTGAGTTTGTAAACCAATGTAGGCCTACTTCTTATTCCACCTTCTCTCTAGGCATTGCCTATTTATTTCTCTCTTCTCGATATCTATCCTATCTCTCTCTCTCTCTCTATATATATATATATATATATATCCTCTCTCTATCTCTCTTTATATATAAACATCCCCTCTCTCTCTCTCTCTCTCTCTTCTTTTCTATTATCTCTTTCTGATCAATTTTCGAAACCAATCTTCTGAAAGAACCCCCCTCCCCCTTTCAAACGGCTGTCAAAATGCGATCAAGGCACTGACATAAAAGGGAGACCTTGATTTTTCTCATCAATGACGAATTGTCTGATTACGTAATCACTGGTCTTGTATAATAACGTGCTCATCACCAGGACTGCCGTCATGCATTGTCCATAGATAGGACCTTTCCTCCCGTCGATCGAGGAGCAGGAAATAAGGCCCAGCCAAGCAGGAAACTAGACATCAGGGGCGATTGTTATCCGTCACAGGACAAAAGAGAGTTGAACAAATCCACAAAACAAAGAACCAGAGGACTTTTCACCTCAATTTAGTCTCATAAATATACCACTGAGTGTTTTTAGCTCCATACATACTATACTGTATTCACAAGCCGAGAGTGCACCGAACTGATTTTTACACCGCTATCATGGTGGGTCATATTGTGGTGGAATTGTGGGATATTACATCTAAAAATCAATGAAGCTATTATCAAAAACTAACCACCGCTTCCACCTCCTTATATTACACTGATGAAAACATATCAGATACATGGATATTCTTTACCACTTTTGATCGATCTATCTATCTCTATCTATCTATCTATCTGAGTATCTTCTCCCGGTTCGGAGGTTGATTGCAACATCTCTCCATTTCACTCTATCTCCTGCCATTCTGGTGCACTCTTGATCGATAATAGATCTAAAACTTCAATCCATGCAAGCTGGTGTCTGCATTAATTCACTCTCTTTTGCTATTTTCACTTTATGTCATGTTGATCTAGCTTGCTGCCCAAAGTGCCCAATTCCTTTTCTACTTATATCGTCTTTTTTTGGTAGTTTTCTTCCAGGTGCGACATGTTTAAGTAGACCTACTTTAAAAAAAACTGAAGTTTTCGACGATGAGGCAAAATATTGTTCGCTTAGCCACAACTAATAAACATGTCTAATAACCACTTAATACAACGATGCATAAAGAGAAAAAACAACTAGTGTGATACGGTTGCAGAGATTTGCACCTTACATGCTTTAAAACTCAGAAGAGCCTGGAAATCAAGGGTACTTCTGTTATTGAGTAAAACTGACTTTAGTTTGGCCCTACTTGGCTATTGTTGAATAGGAGATAGGAATTTATTACGGTGATAATTTTGGAACGCTTTTCGGGTCAGTGGAACATGGTAATTGGTAGCATTGTGTAAGCCGCGGCTTGGGAACAAAAACACGTCTTCCGTGGGAGTTTATAAAGAAAAAATTGAATGTGTGTACATTTCCTTTATGCAGATCATCCATGCATTTATATTGATTTTGGAGTACATTTATCATGTTATTGAACTCAGTTCTCTTTAACGAGCGTACATTATATTTAACAATGCCAGAAAAAAGTTTCATCCCGGAACGTATGTTTATCTGTATGTTTATCAGGCAATGTAAAACTGACAGGCCTCCATGCTATATTTGGTGTGGAATGCACTAATTACTGCTTGACGCCATCCATTTGAAAAACTACTCGTTTATAATCTTTTTCATAATGAATCATACTGTACATAGCTTTAGTGTAAATGAAACTATATTTTTCAAATTGGAATGAAGTGTGGTTTATCTTTCAGGAATCGCAAACTAACATCGTTCATTATGTCAGTTGTGACATAAATTATCTGCCCCTGATCTATTCCATGTCAAGTTTTGAATTCTAGTATAAAAACCGTATGCTACATATTTCATTGAGAAACACAAACACATATGGCTCAAATATCTTGGTGAATAGTTTATATTTCAGAACTATTATCTAAACTCTTCAAAACTTGTTACGCGTATACTCTTATTGTAATACCCATCAACGCGATTATCTCTTTTAGAAGAATCCTCATCAAAATCGACCTTAACACCAGCCATTAAAATACGGTGACTTAAAGAAGCCTGTTTCTACCACCAAGTCCACCAAGTCCACTGAATATATCTTTGAAGTTCACCAACAAATAAAAATCAAAGCTATTTCATAACTTACCAGAAAGAAATATTTCAGCCCCTCGTTCAAAAACTTATCACCCATGTTTGACGATACTCTTGACTCCGACAAGAGAGAGAGGGAGAGGAAGAGAGGTATGTATTCCAAGATCGGAGGCCTAGTCCTAAATGACAGATTTGATCTGATGAGAAACCGGCAATGTTATTTCCGTGTGTAGTCGCTACCCCGAATGACAATCACAATAGCCAAGTCACCTGCCTGCAATAGCTTAGGACTTAGGAATCCTCCAAACACACTCAGCTGTGTCCGGGTCTAAGGTCTGAAAGAAGTTGGATCAAAATTACAGAGCTCTTCGACAAAATAAGTCTATCTCGTCTCTAGACTCTAGCTGCATGTAGCAATACAAAGTGTATACACGAATCCACCGTATGCCAATGGGTAAAGGTATATGAACTCAATCGTGTATGTCATTAGCGGTGTTGGCTCACCAGCACTGAAAATGGTTCCAACAAATTAAAAACGCCTTTTCCGCAGTTTGGGTCGTACTCGGAAAGGAAATTAGTTTATCATTTTGGATTGTTTACCGAGAACTTTGACTCATATGAGAGTTCCGCACGTGTACATGTTATGAGAGGACATGACCTAAAATTGTATATGTTGTCATTGCACCGACGCGTCAGCTCTAGATCTACGACTTTGAGGTTACTTTAAATAGTCTTCCTTTATTCAAGGGTCCAATTATAAGTACTTATCGTTTTGTCTTTCTCAGTTTCACATGGTCGTGAGCACTCAAAATCACCATCAATGTCATACTCATTTATCAGGAAACTGGAATTTGGTCGAAATATTAGTTTGGATTAGACATCATCAGTAAATTCTTTGAGAGTTAATGTTTAATTTCGCCGGGATGCGCACAAGCTTTTTCACTTCTCGTATAATATTGAAAAACCATCTTTAATATTTTCTCTGTTATATTCAGATTGTCTATGTCCATCATTTTGTGTTTTCCATAAAACCAGATATTTGGACTTTTCATGATTTTAACTTGTAAGAATAAGTTTCTTATTAAAAACAGTCCAAAACCCAAAAGCAGAAAGCCATGCAATCAGCATGATCCCAGATACATAAGAGAAACACACCAGTGGTTTAGTATGATACTAGGTGATTTCAGTCAAATTAAATCCTTAGAGCATTTTAAAAACAGAAAAGAACGTAAAGGATTTCAAAATGAGCACAGAAAAACAAAATAAAATATTTAATTGATATTCTATGAAAGACAGGAAATGGTTGAGGTGCGATCTCCGATCAAAACCAATTAAAATCCGTTTCAAAAAAAAAAACACCCACCTCTTATCTGTCTGACATAATAATAATAATAATAATACAATATTTAAAAAGCGCATAATAATCATAAGTTTATCTTTCGCCATGGTGACTCCCCCCCCCCCTCCCCACCCCTCCCCCCCCCCCCCCCCCCCCCTCCCTCCACCCTCAATAATTTATTCCAAGTTTGCCACTGGTTCATTGCCATTTCCTCTATCAGGAAATCGTTTATCATGGAGGAAAAGCCAAGCTTTCCTATTGAGAAACCATTCTTCCTATATAGTGGGGGGGGGGGGGTGGGGGCACTGTACTCATAAAATCACTTTGCAGTGGTGCCCTTGTTAACGATTAATTTCGATCAAGCTTCATCATATTTAAACAGGGTAAAACAAGATTAAATACGAAATTAAAGGGTTTGAACATTGGGAATGTAAATTGCACCGAAGAGTGAATTCAATTTGGAAAGGAAATTTAGAATCCGGTTTTTAATCACTTCAAACTGAACAGTAGCCTTATTTAATATCCTTCCTCTTCATTATTTGTTAAATCTTTCCTACGTGTTCTGTCATTTGATTGAACTTCAGCTGTACGACTACATCACAGTTCTAAACTACATACCAGGGAAGGCAGGGATGATATGCTTCCCACTTCCAACCTTGCTTTAATAATTCAGTACGTTTGTCGGCCCTAAACTGTTGGTCGTTATGACAAACACACGTGAAACATGTACATGTAGCATAAGCAACAACAAAATTATTGTCTAGCCCCCCCCCCCCCTTACTCAACATCATGCAGTCGTTTTGGGGTCGTATTGTCGGGGTCATCTCGTGGGGAGGGGTTGTTGAACATATATATGTATATATTATTTTATCATCATGTATTTTTTCCTTCTTTTCTTTTTCCTCTTTATTTGAAAAGAAGAAGAAAAAATGTTGTAAAAAGTATTAAGAGTAATTTAATTTATTTTCATCCCTGTATTGTATTCCAGAAGAGACATGCAGTAGTACATTAACTTATGTCATTCCTGGTTAATGTCATCTTTACTCTTGCACTCAATTATCTATGTTATTAAAAAAAAACGAGAATGATTCCATTTGTATAAATTTTAATGAATAAAACTTGAATTGAATTGAATCGAATTGAATTGCAGTATCGTGGACGAATAATTGTTTGTTTTTTGTGGAGTTTTGTAATATATGACACAAGAGATTGTATCGATCGCACGATGTATCTATATGTTTACCTTTAATGTTGTGTGTATATTATATGTAGTCCTTTAAGCACCGAAGTGTTGATTGTCAATCAATGACTGATGTAGTTTCGATGAGGAAGAGTATTCGTGCTTGGTACTAAGGTGTTTGCTATATATACATCAATACGAATAAACACGGGAGGAGTATTTCTTCTCATCATCGTTGTCTATCCGACACATACACACACGCACACGCACGCACTCTCTCTCTCTCTCTTACTCATTCTTTACTTTCTTAGTGTCGTTTTCTATTCGTCACTTGCCTTGTTAAATTCTTTCTCTCTCTCTCTCTATATATATTTTTTCTTTCTCTCGCCCTTGCACTGCCTCTTCCCCCCTAATCTTTCCCTCTCTCTCTCTCTCTCTCTCTCTGTATCTTCCTCTCACCCTGCATTCACCCTCTCTCTTTTTCTCTCTCTCTCCCTCTCTCTCTCTCTCTCTCTCTCTCTCTCTCTCCACTCCTCGTTCAGGTCATTTTGATTTACACAAACATTTCAAATAAGACATAAGTAATGATCACATCGTCTTTCTTTTTTTTAATATATTTAATTTGAGTCACATAATTGCCATCAGTCATTTTAAAAAACATTACCAGTTAACTCCAGCGGAACAATCACACACATGAGTTAATTGCCGATTCATAATTGATCATTTTTCAGCTAACGATTATATACTAGTAGCCCCTTCAGTACGAATGAATTCTTCATCAAATACAGTGAAAGTAGTTTTAGTAATAATCATATGCATTGTTGATGAAATTACATCATGTGTCTAAACCATACACTTCTTAGGAATACATTTTGTTTAAATAAGTCTGAATAAAAAAATATAAAAAATGTTTGTGCACTATATTTTCTATAACAAAAGAAAACAAAGAAAACAAATGTGAGAAAATAAAATAAAGAGAAAATTATAAAATACAAAGGGTTGGCATTCCAAACGGCTAAGAACTGCCGTTTACACAATTATACAAAGACTAAGAAATCCTTCGTCAACCAGTTCATAGGAATCATGGGTGTCTATAAGTTGTGCTTTTATGTTTTTCACTTCTTCAGAATAAAATCAATTTAAGATGATTACTTGATAAATTACATAATGAAAATAAAGATTACTTGATAAATTACATGATAAAATAAACAATTCTAATAATCTTAAAATGTGCATGGTCTTATGATGTAGATTCACAACCCCCCCCCCCCCCCCACAAAAAAAAAGTTTGTACTCACTGCATGTATGCCTCCAACTGTATTGACACTGGCATGTTCAAACATCCATTATGACATTGCTATGCTCCGATGCTCCTATGATTCTGATACCTTGTAATATGGGGGCGTTTCGGACAAATGCATGAAACTTCAGCTACCATTGGATCTCGGGCTAAAAACACTGACTAATCATCCGTGGCAGAACACTATCTTCTGACTTCATTCATTTGATATCTTTGTACCTTCTCAAGAAATTGAGATTACCTTGTTTGTGCTATAAAGACATATTTTGGCAGCTGCTGGAGAAATTCTCATTCCTGATTTTAATCACACAGGTTCCCTTTTTACCCCCATTTAGCTAAAGAAACAAAGACCTACAGAGCTTTTACTTAGAAATTATGCAATTTAAAACCATTCTGGAATAATGAATCACACCCTGGTGCCCTAATTATCGATGCAATCAACAGAGAAAAGATGCTTTTAGTTACAGATTTATTTCAAAAAGGATTCCTTTTTTTTTTTGGTAAAAAGGAACTCATTATTAAGAGACTTTCTCAATGCTAGCAAGCAAGATAGGGAGCTAAGCAAATCATTATTCAAACTGAAGATACATCCAGAACATGTCAAATGCACAATAATGCTGATGTTGGTGAATTTGAAAGTGTTATTTGACAGAATATTTTGCATAATCTAGATACATGAACTAGAGATACCCATCAGCTCTATCATAGTTCTACCTCTCTGCCCCCAAAACAATAATGCAGTTTGTGTTTCACATGGTTGTTCAGGTACCACTATCTTTCACCAATTAACCCATCAACTCTCGAACCTGGTGGCTACTGTATAAAGCCTATGGCAATGAAGGTATTCAGTATTCAACTGGTTAATTAAATATTTCTCAAACACCTAAAACCCAATTTCTAAATGTAAGTTCCTTTCTTGCAAAAGACGTGAACACCATGGTCTGTACTCTACTAATTGAATCTAACCTGATCTTGTGTCTAAGATAGCAGTTAAATAACAAAGTAAAACTAAAGCCTCAGACTTTGCTACCCTGGATTTTCAACAATTAAAAGCCCAAACTCAGGTTTAAATTTGAGTACAATACAGCCTACAAAGACATCACCATCTCCACACAAAAATCAATTTCTCACCATGCTGTCACCATTTAACAATTTATTTTTTTTCATCCCAAACAACATACCATAAAGTCCACAATAATGTATAAATACAGTTAAAATATGCCTTCTACAGTTGTATTGCTTTTCAATTTGACACTTTTGAGACCTCCTAAAACTTCCCACCACACTGGAATAGCCATCTTATAATGATAAACTATACATGTAGCCTGTGTAATTCCATGTATATATAATATATAAAATATCTTCAGAACATTAAATATGTATCTAAAAATATGGTTTACTTCAGGGGACGAATGCACTGTTCATTACTTTGTCTCCTTTTTACTCCTGAAAGATAAAAAAAAAAGAATATAAAGAGGAGAGAAAATTAATAATTGCATGATCTACTAAAACAAAAGATTACAGGTGAGTACAATTTTTCTTTCTTTTTTGTTTTCTCTTTTGTTTTCTTGTTTATTCATCCACCATTGGCATTGATTGCCAATTTGAAGAAAATGTTGCTATACAGATTAAGGGAGGGGAATCACAACTACTTTATTATCTACTTTAAACCGATTATTAGTTTTACTAAGGGCAATTTGCAACATACACTAGTCACATTCACTAAAGGCTTGTTCAGCTATGACCACAAGAAATTCACCAAGGTTTTTTAAAAGTGTAAATGAAAGGATTTACTCGCTGAGCTGTAATAAGATACAGAAACATGAAGAGTATCTCACTTGATATCATCATAAAAAGCTGCTGTGGTATTGCAGCGTCATATCTGAACGAGGCTTAAATGTCATCGCTTGTTTATATGCAATGCTGGTATTTAATTAGTAATACTAACAAAATAGAAGTATTAATCATTTCAAGAGCACATGTGAAATATCAAAACGAAGTGAAAGTATTGTCAAGAGTATTCTATTTGGAAAGAGGAAGGAAACGAAAAGTAATCAACAGTTCTAAACTCCAGGTTTTGTATAATGTGTGGTCCCATAAATATTTGTGTGATAAGTAAGATATGTTTTAATTTTTAACTTTGGACATCACGTAAACAATGCCTTTATTATCTAGATGAGAGAGACCTAAAATCAGGGGTGGTATTCTGAAAGCAGTATTATCTTTATGGTTAGTAAGACAATATTAATTAATATATCAATTGAAATAAAATTTAACAAATAAAAACTTAGGACAAGTCATTGGTTAAATGTCTGAGCAAAACCAGCTGTGTTTGTGGAGACATTAGTATTACTTCTGCGCATTTTGAGTTTGTGATGACAATTTACATGTTAACCTAAAATAAAAGATACTGTTTTCAGAATACAGCCCTGCTTTTTGAGGTGCAAGGCATTTAAACAGTTAGAAATGTTACATTCTAAGTTATGGACTACCCCCCACCCCCCCCCCCCCCCCCTCCCCTAAAAAAAAGATCATGTTGCTTTTACAATATCACCCCTGATTTAGTTCTTTCTCATCTAGATAATAAAGGCCTTGTCAATTCTTTGTTTACCTGATGTCCAAAGTTAGTAATTAAAACATAATTTGTTTATGACACAAATATTTTACAGGATCACACATTTATACGAAACCTGTAGTTTAGAACTTTTGATTACTTTTCATTTCCTCTCTCTTTCCAAATATAATACTCTTGACAATACTTTCACTTCAAAGCTCTAATCATGTTTGCCAAGTAGCTACGGTATTTTGGGAGACACTGAAACTTTGTATACATTTGCATTATAGTTGTTAGATCTCAGCCTTCTGTTGTTTTGTTTTTATGTTGTTCCCTTAGAAGTAAAAGTTAAGTTTAAGAATAGTATAATGACGCTACATGTACATGATGATGTGAGGTATGAATAGATTATTACCTTGCATGAGAAGTAAAAGTTAAGTTTAAGAATAGTATAATGACGCTACATGTACATGATGATGTGAGGTATGAATAGATTATTACCTTGCATGAGAAGTAAAAGCTAAGTTTAAGAATAGTATAATGACGCTACATGTACATGATGATGTGAGGTATGAATAGATTATTACCTTGCATAGATGGTGTATCTGCCGAGTTGTACTAGTTGAGCACTCTCGTTGGTGACATGACAGGCAAACAGTAGCCAGTTACGAGGCTGCACCATGTAAGCAAATCGCATGAAGAGAGCAGAATAGACACACAGAGCTGGCCACAACAGAAGGGTAAAGAAGGAAAATGGCATTGATAAAACAACAACAACAAAAAAGATTTTCAAGAAAATTGTGTAATTACATGTATCAGGGCATATATAATAATAATAGTTTGTTTTTATATAGCGCTTTTTAGGACCGCAGGCCCTCTCAAAGCGCTTCACAGATATATATTATTACAGACATAAAAGCCGTGGTGGGACTTGAAGGGGGAAAAAAGAAAATTCATTGACAATAAATCTGTCAGTATTGAACTCACCTACTGTCATTCTAGGGCTGATGATCTCAGGATCTCTTTTCATATCAGCCAAGGCTGCTAGAGGTATACCCCAGTTCGCAACTAAACAAAAAGATAAACAACAGGAGTCTTCAACATTCAATTAAAGCCCCACTGCACTACTTATAGCTACTTGCGCCCTCTATACAACCAACAATGCCTATTAAAGCGGTACCCGTTGATCCCCCACGATGCCCTTTTTTCTTATGTTAATTGAGAGCTGATTTGATGAGATATCCCCCTGCCAGTAACCTTGCAAGGAGGTCTTATCTGTCCATGCCAAACTAGTGCAGAAGGGCTTTAAAAAAAAATTAAATGTCTAAGTAATGCTTAGATTTATATCTCCATGATTCACTGTTATACATTTCCACCATGATGCATTTGTGAAGATTCAATTATCATGCATTTTCAATTTCAATATTAATTGTTCATATGTCACATTCTTTCTATTTGCATAATTAGCATTCAATCTATTCAATCAATTAAAGAGAAGGTTGAGTTCTGGGAAGAGGTGAAAAATAATTTGTGAGCGTTATCATTCTTATTATGCAAGTTTGGAAGAACATCAGATAACACATGTTCCCTGAAAAGCATGGCTCTTCAAATGCCTTCATATTCTAAATATGTCATTAACATCGTAAAACTCGGGGGTAGGATTTTTACGCCACGTGTTCGTGTAGTCCCATATACATCTTTCCGTGTTCAGTGTTTGTAACTTTACCAAGACTTGGCCAAATTTCTTATCATTTTGATGATTCCAGAACCTTGCAATACACACAAATTCTCACATATTAGATGATCAACCTTTTCTGGTCGATTCCACACCGTTTCTTCCACAATGCAATCGCATGACCAAAACTCAACTTCATCTTTAAAGATGTGTTCTACATTTCTTGAACTAGTATTGATGTGTAGACTATAGAGTATTCCAATTAAATAGATCACACAGATAAAAAAAAAAAACTGAATAATGACCAAAGTGAAAGAAATGAAAACTATTTTATTTTCCTTCACATTAACATATAATTCATCACGAAAAATTGAATAAGGTGATGGAGCTTAAAGATTCAAAACATTAAAATGTGTTTACTCACCTGGCCCCCAGAAATGCTGTAGTGATGTCATGTAAAGAAGAAGAAGAGACAAGTTAGTACATGTAATCGAGAAGAAATATGTTCCTACGTGTATTTGAGTTAAATCTATTTATTGTTGTCAATGTGATATGAATCCCTACCTTGTGTTGTAAAAAAAAAAGTGGGGGGGGGGGGAATAAATATAAATCTTAGAAAATAATGCAAAGGAAAATGATTGGCTACATTTTATATATTTTTTTTAAAGATGGATACATATTTTTTTAATCTTGTGACACACCCATTTGTTGAAATGTTTAGAACTGAAAAAGGGCCACATCAGATACTTTTTTCTTCAAAATTGCAAACAAAATCAGTGGTAGCCTTCTGTCCAAGAAGAAAATTTTTTTTTATTCATATCAACATAAGAAAATATTTGTGATGAATGATACACTGGCAGACTACATGTACTTTAGACCCGTCAGTGATACTGTTGTATTTTTACAACAATGCCGTCTAGGACAAGGTCAAAGTGAACTGAACCGATTGCAGACAAGTCAGTCATGGATGATATTCCTCTACACGGAACATGAACCTCCAATGTTACCCATTCAGTAAACACAATGTTCTTTTCATGGGCCACCGACCTCTGAACAAACATCACATCTTGACATACATGTATTTACAATGTGTATTACTATTAATAAATGAGTTCTCTACGTGCTCTCTGGTTAGATGGTATAAAGGTGTAGCCATAATTCTACTCCACAAGTTTACTATTTACATCATCATCATCAAGTCAGCATTTTCCCTTTTATGAGGGGTTACTGACTTTCGTGCCATGATGACATGCCCTCCCTCCATTTCTTTTTGTCTTAATTAAGCTTCCTCCTCATTCAGACCAACCTTACTGCTTTCTTTGTTCATCATATCTTTTCATGAAATCTTAGGTCTTCCTACAAAGTGTGTATCTTGAATTGTATTTCCAACTCCAAAGCTTGAACATATTCTTTCCTGCCACTGCAATTTATCAAATTTATTCTACACAGATACCAGCAGGTGAATTAAAAAGCATATACATGTAACCATAGATGGTGAAAGCATCAATTATGAGATTGAAACAGGTTAATCTCTGCAGGAGGAAATATTATTACTACCGGTAGACTACGTACATGTATATCACAACAACATTTAAATAGTTTCTAATTTCTATCTGAATCTTTCAAAACCCTGATCCCACTTTTCCAATAACTACATGTATAAAGAAAGAACGTCCCTAGTATTCAATTATTAGGAGAATAAAAATTACTCTTTTTAACAAAGTATCAGTGATTGTGATTTTGTTCTCATCCATTTAATAAAAATAGCTCAGTTAGCTCAATTACTTTAAAACTACTTTCATATTTTGTTTACAAGAAGAATAAAGGAGTGTACAATACATAAACATGTACATGTAAGATATACGATTACAAATATACAGGTAGTTATTATCATTGTTACTGGTAAGGTGGGACCAGGGCTTTAAACGTGCACAGTAGATGTATTTGCCAGCGTTACATCGTATAGCTGGCAAATGTTGTTTATACGGCCAATAAGTGGTGAACACTAATTGTTCTCCGGCATGCGTGACAGAATTATTCAATTCCGTTGCGTCGAAGGTGTTTCATTTGAATATGAAAAGAGAGGATGCGAGATAAGGGTGTGGTGTGTAGAGGGAAGTCATTCTAGCTTTCCAAGGACCGCACACTAGCACGTTTTAAAAAAAAAAAATTATATGGAGTTCTTTTTAAAGAGTGAACTAAAAAATGATAATAGGTATAGGAGACGTTGTTGCATCAAAGTTTAGGTTGTGGTGGCCATAGGGTCTTTTCAGAGTTTAGTGCTGATTCAGTTTTATCTCTGTTTTTTTAAACCCGGGCATAATTAGGGTTAGGGCATAACAGTTTAATTAGTTATGATTTCACATGATTAAATGTTAAGAGGTATAAAAACATTATATATGTATGATTCTCAGACAGAATTTGTTAGAAGTTGTTTTCATACTTTGAAAAATGAAAGTGTTGATAATTTATGTGAAATAAATGCTGTATCTATATGCTAGTAGCTCGGCAGGCTATATCCCAAAATATTGTATAATTTTGTCAGAGTGACTTCTGGATGTGATGGTTGTTATGGGTGATATTATGTGATAAACGATGTTAGGATGAACTATAATTTACCAAATGTATCAATTAGTAGGTGGTTTCCCGGCAAAATTTGTATCCTCACGTATCAGTCAAAACATATATTCTTTCACATGATTAGTAATAAGACCTTCCATTTCATTTTTTTGAGAGGGGGGCGTTTCCAACCCCTGTCCACACACAACATTTTCCGTGATTAGCTATACCGTTTCGCGACAGTAATACCGTTTCGCGATAGTTTTACGATGAAATTGTGTGTGTGGACGCTCACTAACGATACGTCGTATAACGAAACGCAGGTTTGGGCATCGTTTCGAACTGAAACTCGATAAAGAATCACGCCTAATCACGAAAATGTTGTGTGTGGACAGGGGGAGTGTAACTAGTGTAACTAACTGGGCGGGGCTTAACGTGACCTCGAGCGAAAGGAGACCAGACTGTAGAGTTTCAGGATTACTTTCTTCTGTTTATGGACATCCTTGAATTTATACGATGATTATTTATATGAAGTTTCTTGTGTGTGGACACTGTGAAATTTATAGATGATTCTTTATACGACGTTTCGTTATAGAGTTTCGGGATAAATTGTTTTGTGTGTGGACACGCTGCAAAACTGGTCTGTACCTTTAAACGTGCACAGTAGTATAAAGAGCTAAACATGTACTTCCTCATTCCAATGACTGTTAAGTCACCTCCAGCTATCTCTCTTTTCATGAAGCGGATTAGTCTAGCTCCCAAACCTCAAGAGTTTGAATGGGTGAATCCATTTGCGAGGGTGATTACGTCAGGGAGATTCACTTTATCCTGCTTAAGTACTGTTACATCCCCCTCCCCCCCCCCCCAAAGAAAAACAACAACATCAACAACAACAACAATAAAAAGAGAGACAGAGGGGGAGTCAATTGGAGAATACTATCAGCTTGAAAATAGACTTCCAAAGTGTTTTTTAAAACCCATGTCAAGAAAATTAACTGCATGCAGTAAGATTTGGCTCTATCTTATTCTGATCACATGTTTATTTATTTCTTTAAATGTTTTCTTTGATTCATTTATGACAAAAATACAAACGTAAATTTGTATAGGGATAATAATCTTAAAACATCCAATGCATTCAACTACAAGATCAGAATCATATTTCAACCAATTGAATCACCAATAACTTTGACCTTGTTTCGAAATCCCTCGCAATAACCATGAAGTATGGAATAAATGGGAATAAAAGGGGAAATAAACGAAACAAAAACAAAACAAAATTACAAGTATGAGAGGACATGATGTGACAATCTAAAGAGGTCATGAGAAAGTGTGCTTGTTACAAGGAAATGTCTCACACGAATGATCACTGAAGAGGATGACCAGCCACAAAGCAGCCACAGACAATGAGTCACTTTGTCTCGGTTTACATAACATTCCTAATCAGGCTTCATCATAATTATGTATCATAGTTCCTATATTTTATATCAAACATAGGTACATGTATATACAATTACAGTGTGTTACTTTAAAAGAAATCATGATTTTTTTTTTTTTTGTGTGTTTGCAAATGACCATGTCCTGATAAATTAGTACTGTTTAAAAATGTCAAAGTTCAATTCGATCTCTTTCAAATGATACCAAATATGATATGATACTGTTATGCATGAATGGTTTTAAAATTTAAATGAGAGATGTCAAAAGTAGTTTGCACACAGAAGTGGTGCATAATGTGATTTCATTTCATTAAGTACAATGCTAAAAAAAAGGGGGGAGCAGAAGATAAGTGATATTCCATTTGTTTCTATATTCATCTTTCAACATTTTATGAAACCTTGAATGAGATATTGATCCATAATCTACCTAAATTGACAGGACAGTGTAATTAAATTAAATGGGAGTGAGGTACTTCAATCAATGGTTCATTGAGTTGATGCATAGATCCCACTCTCAATTGCAAATCAATTTTTACATTGTTGGTTTAAATTGCTTTGTTTCAATAATTGGAGGCTCTAGCATCACACAGGTGAGTGGATTAAATTTCTTTGCTCTTATATATTACAATAAATTGATAAATAAAATGTTCAGAAAAACGTGGGATTTCCATTTTTCAGGAAACACAAAGACTTAACTCCACCCAACACCCCATTGAAGTCAATGGCTAGTGAAACTTAGACTTAACTCCTTACGGCCCAAATGCTCAGTGACACATAAACCACTTTGTCTAAAAATGGCCAAAATGGAGTTACGTCTTTGTGTCACTAACCCCTCGAAATGTACTTGTTTATTTTGCTCAGAGTTTGGGACAAGTTGGGTTTCCTTTTCATAAAAACACTCTGGATATCTTGACTAATAAATGAAGTTAGACAATATACTGTCAATATGCATTATCATGACATATACAATGTCCATGAATACTTTTGTGTACTGAATAATGCATAAATCAACACTACCGGTATATAGAATCAAGAGATAACCACATTTATAGATCTGTCATTTCAGCAGAGAAAAATGAATCAATATTACTTACCGTGCTGATGATCATTGATGACATCATAATAAGATCAGCGTTTTACAGTCAGATGAGTAATCCATAAAGCCACAAACAAGTACATAGTGCAAAAGAAAAAAGAGAAAAAGAGAAAATAAAGCTTAACACAGAAATGGTAGCTGATCATGTTTCTTAGTTCTAATGAAATGCTGTGTAAGACCAGATTCTGTCTGTTATTATATATTTTTTATTCTTCAATCATTCATGTCCTCCTCCCTCCCTTGAAGGCTTGCACACATCCCACAAAGATCGAGCAACCCCCAAAAATACACCCATGTTTGCGAGGGTTAGAATGAAAGGCAAGGACTGTCTCTGTTTTACAGTTGAGGGTGTGTTATTTTCTCATCTGATTGTGTGCACGACACAGTAACACTCCAGGGAGTGGACTTAAATGTATTTTTCTATATTGAGCCTTGCTTAGATAAATCAATCCCTGGAGACACAGAACTGTGGGGGATAAGTTCAAAGGAGAATCCAACCATCACAGGCAACTACTCTATAAGTAGTAGAGGTGTCGTGGTCGAGTGGATATGTCACCGGACTGTGGATCACAAGGTCCACGGTTCAAGTCACTAATGTCCTTTGGCAAGACATTGATCTACATTTGCCACTCTCCACCCAGGCGTTAAATGGTTACCCGGTAGGATGCGAAAGTTAATGTGGTTAGATTAGTAAGTGGCGCTTGTAAAGTGGCGACTGGCTGGAATGCTACTTAGGGAGTGGAAAATATGCATACATTGTGTTGCGGGCAAGCCTGAATCCGATGACCGGGTTATAATATGTGCTGCGCCTAGAAACAAAGATTTAGGCACATTATAAATGTGAGCTATTATTATTATTATTATTAAAAGAAAGGAAAATACTCCTAGAAGAAGACTGGTGAAAGTTTGAATGAAAAGGGGAAAAAAATGAGAAAGATTGATTCTTTGAATTTGGTAATCTATGCAAAGTTGCCTTTCTCTATAAGCTCATGCTTCCATTACATGTACATGTACATTACCAATACCTTGTATGTCCTACAAATTTCTTATGCTAAATGTGTTAGAAATGTCTAGTTAATTTAATAGATTAGTGAGACGTAACATCATCTGAGCGACAGTGAACCAATGTGATTGGCCTATATTTGATGCTGTCCTTGCAGGGACTGCTACTGTGATCAGCTGTCGACAATTATCCGTTGATACTTGAACTGGCTATTGTTTGCAAGTGCACATTGTACACTTTTTTTTTAAAGACCGTCAATACTACTGGACCAGAAGGGATTAGACCACACAGCGAGGTCACTGACAGGTGGCTATCTCATTAACTCAGCTCTCAACTAACATAAGAAACAGAGGATCATGGGGGATCAACAGGCACTGATTGGGGAAGTTTTCTATATAGAGGGAGCAAGTAGCTACAAGTAGGACAGTGGGGCTTTAAAGCCTGGCTTGGTGATATCAATATGTCATCACAAAAAAGTCAAGGCTTGTCCTCATTGCACTAAAACAGAAATATCTCGGGTTTGATACTCGATTAGGCAATTTTTGAACCCCTGTTTTCTTTTGTTGAAATTATAGTAAGGTTGACAATGACATTTGACAATGATTTTTAATGATTGCTGGTGAAACTTCAGCAAAATACAATTATTTAATTGTTGTAGTCTCTGTTGTAGTCATCACAGCAGATAAAAGTCACAGTTCGTGAGACTTCTTTACTTATTTTCTGTTATATGTTACTAAATGTATGTATGGATGTTTTTGATAATGTTCATATTAATTATATTCTTCAAGAAGTTTGTATCTACATATTATGTTGCATTTGTTTACAGGGCCCCCTGGAAAACAGTACTTTGATTACTGAGGGGGCTACCCTGTTTAAATAAAAACGGAATAAATAAATCAATCAATAAATAAATAAACAAAATTCGCCAGCAGACCAACATTATACATCTCACCAAGTAATTCAAACTTCTGCATTGATGTAGTATGCGGGGATAGAGCGAGAATACCGACACAGCAACATATCTATATGTACGACAGTGTATCTTTCTTGCTCCCTCGACGAGACAACTCCACCCAACAACCCCCCCCCCCCCTCCCCCTCTCTCTCTTTCTAACTCTCACCCCCTCCTCTATCATCATGCTCTTATCCCCCTCCCCCTCTCTCTCTCTCTCTCTCTCCTCTCTTTCATCTTCCCATTTGTTGTTTCATTTTCTCATATTTTTTTTCTTTTTTTAATTATCCTTTTCTTTTTCTTAATTTCTTCTCTCCCTTTTTCTTTCTTGTTCTTTTTTTTTTCTTTTCTTTTTCTTTCTCTCGCATTTTCCCCGACGGCAGCGCAATTTTACCACAAAATCCTGATAGGTGGGAGGGGGGTGTCGCACCCCTCCCCCCCCCCCCCCTTTGCGACACCCCTGTGTCACTCCAGCAAAGCATAGAGAGTCCATGCTAATGCGTATGGACCTCTAGCACTGCATGTATGTGGTATGCACGGGGTGGATTTTTTTTAGTATTAAGATCATAAAATGTAAGACAAATACAACATGACATAGGTTATGTTATATTTGTCTTACATTTTACAGTATTTAAGATTATTAAATTATTTTTATAATAGAAAAAAAGAATTCAAAACTAACTTTTAAAGCCCTTTTTCCTCCTTCTTTTACAGAGACGGCAGCATGATTCCCTCCTCGATTGCGATGACATCAAAACTGCGCACTTTACGCATACCATACACTGACTTCTACATGCGCTACAATTCGCCACAAAGACAGCTCGCCCCTGAACAACTCGACACAATACCCTCCCTGGATATCTCGCCACAATACCCTGGACAACTCGACCGTAGCAAGTTGTGCAGGGTATTGTTGCGAGATGTCCAGGGTATTGTGTCGAGCTGTCTTGGGGCGGGTTGTTTTTGTGGCGAGTTGTCTAGGCCCCGGTGAAAACATACGTGACTCGTGACCAACGAACTCAAACCAAGATTTCGATGCTCGTGACCCGTGGCTCTTGCGCAACATCTGACGGGTAGTTTTCTTATCTCGCAGACGTTTTCATTTATTGCTTTATCGCAGGTTTAAAGCACCTAGGCCTCTTATTCCGCACAAATTTCTAGATAGACTTTCGAAATGCTTATTATTAGTATCATTATTAATATTATTATTATTAAGACCCCAAAATTGCTAAATTGAATATTATACTTTGGAATTATATAGTAATGCTCCGCCACCTCTGTCGGCTAATAGTTGGGCTGAAATGTATAATGTATTTAATATAATACCAAACTCTAAAAACGCTCGTACGCAATAGCCTACCGCTGAGCTGTGTACACAACCGATCGCGTCCATATCAACATGCATATATTCGGACGTAAGCGGTCGCGAACGGTCTTTAAAAACAAAGGTCATAAAATCCGAAAATGGCGCACGTTAGCTGAATTGCGGATGGGCTATAAGCAAACAAGTAGGCCAGATGTCTGGAAACCAAGGAAATTTACACCAACGAAACTTGTAAGTTCCATTCTTTATTTATTTGTGATCCCATTTAATTAATTAGTAGGACATTTGAAAGTGTCATACCGCAGGCTTTCAAATGTGTCGCGTTAATGTGCTGGTGCCAGTGTTGCCTGTTTTACTACACAGTCAGGATAGTGATGCTCCTACATGTATGTGTGCCCTGTGTCAGGCAAATTCATGCAAAAAAATATATTCAAAAAATTGACTTGAAAACACATCACACAATTAGTCTGAACCGAGTCAGGAGCAAATTTGAAGAAATTATATTTTTAAATGTTGTAAAACCAAAGATATAAGAAGAAAACTGACCAAGTATCTGTACTAAAAATCGTACATGTAAAATTGGTCGTACACATTCGACAGCTGAATATGACGCGCACGGTTGCATTACGTGCATTCTCGAATCCAAAATCGTACCTCACACACACAATCTCGCCATACCGCGAATGGTCCGTCTTGGGGAGCTAGCCGGCTGAGAGTTTGCAGCGATACCAACGCAGCTTCGGAGCTCCGCAGCGCGCCATTCTAGCGGGACTCGGAAAGGCAGTGGCCTAGCTTTTTGCCCAAACAACGCTAGATCGGCTGCTGGCAAAATGAAAATAACTACGATCGAGAACATCGTCGGTTTCTTAACTTTTCAGTGAGATAATTCTGAATTCTAATTGAGACTATATAATAAATTAAATCGACAAAGAAACCTCGGTAGAACTCTTATAACTATACAAAAGCTTGTTTATTTCTTCATTTGACATTTTGTTTTCGACCATTTTTTCGTGCGCGAGTCAATGTAAACTATGTATTACCAAACTTTCAACACGCAAGGAACGGGGAACACTCGCGGACCTCGTAACAAATTCGTTGCAAAAAAAAAAATTCAAGGGTGATTTTGAAGCAGTGAAGAACATTGGCGCTGCAATGCGCAGAAATATACTTGAAAGAAACTTTAAAAATAATACCTGAATTTTCAGAAAAACGTATTTGTATGAGTGTACCTAGATGTGACTTGTCTATAAATCAGATTTTATGAAGATTTGTTGGGAAAAAATGTCAATTTTTTCCGTTTGGTGGTCATTTCTAGGCTAATATTTTAAAAGTTGCATCAGTAATGGGCCCGATGTTTCCCTTATCGTACTCGCATGTTATTTCTACATAGATTAAACATAGGATGGTTAAGGGTAAGACCAGATAACATTATAAAAAAGATATATCCTTCCACCCTCCCATATCCAAGTTTTGGGCTGATTATTGCCGACCCACCGCAGCAAGGCCCTTCAGATTTTCGTACGCGCGCAAAGCGCCCTCTAGTGCCCCATGAATGTGCCTACCTCATGTATCAGCACGGCTCGCCGTATGCACGCGCGTCTCGACATTACCAGGGCGCTGACATTTTGCGCACTAAATTTCACATTTCTGTGCGTGGATACGTTCTTTTTCTCTTCTCATCTCATGCATATTCATTCCCTCCTGAACAACTGTCGAATCGATAACCAGGATTTTTGATTGTACCTCTAGGTTCAGTTAATCAAGCTCGTTCCAAAACTATATTATTTGTCCATATTTGTTTTTGCCAAAGTATTCTAAATGCGATCTGAAAATGACCTTATTTGTCACTTTACGACACTTAAAATTCAAGGTTTTTTTTAAGTTGTCATGGCAATAAAATACAATTTTTTTTAATGATCTCATGTATATATTTTGATTGCTCATCATTTTCTCCTCAAATTGATCATTTGGTTTTACAAGTCTCGTTGGGCAGATTTTAAGCTACGAGTCCTCAAAGATAAGGTAATTTTTTCCAATTTCTCCTAATTTCACACCTTTCACCCGAAATCGTAGTACATTATTGAATATGGAGCAAGATACGAGAATTGATAGTTATCATACAATTTATTATGATATTTCTGATGATTTAATTACCTAGTTTTGCAGATTTATAACGTGACACAAATACTAAACTGAGTTTGAAAATACAACAAAAGCAGCTGATTTATATATTTAGCGTGTACGCGAACACGTGTAGCCCGCTTCGGTCAGTGTAGTGTAACGCCACCCTACCGTTGTGTGAACAATCCCACATGCAGATAAATGTGTCTTGCGCACATTTGGAAGCATAAACACAAGTTTTAAAAAATATTAAAAATCGCTCGAATTGAATTTTACCATGACATTTTTAGATTATGTTTCTTTAGAATGTTGTTTTTAGATATACATGTCACAAGATTTTTTTTCTATTAGATTAAAAGAAAATCAAATATTTCTTGAGCATGGTCAGGGGAAATTTTTTATCGCCTGATGAGTGATGTGTGTTATGTTATTAACTGAAGCTGAGCCAGGTGTAGACCGAAAGCTTCAGTCTCTATAATCGTCGGTTGTTCCACTGAGACTACGTCTGGCTCCACTATAGACCTATAACCGGAGGTCTAGTGGAGCCAGACGTAGTCTCAGTGGAACAACCGACGATAGAGACTGAAGCTTTCGGTCTACACCTGGCTCAGCTTCAGTTAATAACATAACACACATCACTCATCAGGCGATAAAAAATTTCCCCTGACCATGCCCAAGAAATATTTGATTTTCTTTTAATCTAATAGAAAAAAATCTTGTGACATGTGCATATCTAAAAACAACATTCTAAAGAAACATAATCTAAAAATGTCATGATAAAATTCAATTCGAGCGATTTTTAATATTTTTTTAAACTTGTGTTTATGCTTCCAAATGTGCGCAAGACACATTTAGCTGCACGTGGGATTGTTCACACAACGGTAGGGTGGCGTTACACTACCCTGACCGAAGCGGGCTACACGTGTTCGCGTACACGCTAAATACCATATAAATCAGCTGCTTTTGTTGTATTTTCAAACTCAGTTTAGTATTTGTTTCACGTTATAAATCTGCAAAACTAGGTAATTAAATCATCAGAAATATCATAATAAATTGTATGATAACTATCAATTCTCGTATCTTGCTCCATATTCAATAATGTACTACGATTTCGGGTGAAAGGTGTGAAATTAGGAGAAATTGGAAAAAATTACCTTATCTTTGAGGACTCGTAGCTTAAAATCTGCCCAACGAGACTTGTAAAACCAAATGATCAATTTGAGGAGAAAATGATGAGCAATCAAAATATATACATGAGATCATTAAAAAAAATTGTATTTTATTGCCATGACAACTTAAAAAAACCCTTGAATTTTAAGTGTCGTAAAGTGACAAATAAGGTCATTTTCAGATCGCATTTAGAATATTTTGGCAAAAACAAATATGGACAAATAATATAGTTTTGGAACGAGCTTGATTAACTGAACCTAGAGGTACAATAAAAAATCCTGGTTATCGATTCGACAGTTGTTCAGGGGGGAATGAATATGCATGAGATGAGAAGAGAAAAAGAACGTATCCACGCACAGAAATGTGAAATTTAGTGCGCAAAATGTCAGCGCCCATCTAATACCGGCCGTGCCGATACGTGGTACCTGTGACTGTGTGAGCTAAACAAGAAGAATAACATTTGCCTAACAAACACAATTCATAACGCGTGGGACCAAGATATAAAATTCAGTGGAAAGTTCAATGGATTTACCTAGTGAAATACTGCATCCATGTCTGCTCGATTTTCTGTGCATCTGCTGCTGCTTTGCTGTCAGTAGCTGCACGACGACGTACCGTCATCTGGATGTTTTGTTTAATTTGATAACGAACATTCTTGTTCACAAAAGTATTCAAGGGGCGTCTGAGAATTAGAGAAGCCATGGCTCGAAAACAAATTGATGAAGACGCCCGCTACGTTACAGACCATATATCAACCTTATCTCTATGATAGCAACCCAAATGAAGTTTCTTCTTCTACTACTACCCCCCTCCCCCCCCCCCCCCCCCACTCAGTGTTATTTAGGAAACGCCGAATATATGCGTGTTCCCAGCACCCCCCCCCCCCCCCCTTTCAGCATAAGTCCGGTGTGTAAAGTCAATACCGGTAGACCTTTTTCTTGTGTTACGAGCCGGAGTTCCCGGAGTGGGAGGTGCCCCGCCCGGCCCCCCCCCCCCCCCCCCACTCAGTGTTATTTAGGGTACGCGTTAGCTCGTTCCCTCTTTTTGAAAGCACCCCCTATCTGAGGACTGCCAACAGTCAAAGAGATGAGAGAAAAAAAGAAGAACACCCCCTTTTTAAAGAAATCTCCGGGTGAAAAGTCAAATACACCCCTTTTTTTTTTTACAATTCTCGGGCTGGACTTTGTCGCACGAGTACCCCTTTACCGGACATTTTTGGTAACTTGCACGCATGCGGTCATTCCGACCCCGGAGGGCTGGGGGAGGTGCCGAGCTCCTACTCTACTACCAGTACTAATACTACCAATTCTTCTTATTATCTGGGCGTGATGGCGTTCACCTCAACAGAGCCGGTCAACGAATCTTGGCAGGCAACATGAAACGCCTCATCAACCGTGCTGACAGGCCAACCGACAACACGAGGCCAGGGCTGGACTCAACGGTCGTCCGATCAAGACACAGGCAGTCAACCTGGAGCAAGGCGGTTTCAAGCCATCTACCAAGAAAATCAGAGTCTTCATTCTGATGAGGAAAAAAGCAGCCCCGTAAAATTCTGCACCGAAGCTGTTTCTGGGAGATCTTTGGATTTCAGCGCAGTCGATCAAGATGGACATGAAAGACTGGGAGAAATATCTTCAATTTGTAAGAAGGGTATTGAATTAAATGAAAGTTTGACAAAATCAAGTGATGATCCGAAAATTATAGTTGACGGTCGGAAATATAAGTTCCTTGTGGGAACTGTGATAAGCCAGTCAAATGTAATTAACACGGCCTTCTTTGTTCTAATTGTAAAAAATGGTTTCACACTAATTGTCAAGCTATCAGTTTTTCAGAGTACCGCAGGTTATGAATGCCCTGATAAGAAGTGGAATTGTTTAACATGTTGTCTGCCATCTTTTTGTGACTCATTATTTACTGACGATTGTGTAGAGAAAGAAAGCCAAAGTGAGGATAGACTAAAAGAAAACTATTTTAAGGTAACGCGCGTTACACCTGAAAAGCAAGCGATAGCAAGAATAATTCAGCCAAACCTCAGAGATGAAAACACTTCTCTTTATCAAGAATTTGAAGAAAAGTTTAAAGTTAAAGGTCTTCATTTTTTACACCTTAATGTGAGGTCTATCCTAAACAAGATATCGGGACTTAGAATTATTTTTAAAGAAAAAGGCTGTCTATTATTGCTTTCACTGAAACATGGTTAAACAATTCCATAAATGATGAAGAAATTGAAATAGACGGATATAAAATCATACGCCATGATCGATCCTCTGGCTCTGGAGGTGGTGTATGTTTCTATATCAGAATTGATATTGCATTTAATATTATGGATGCTATAAGTACTGGAGATACGGAATCCCTGTGAATAAATTTGCTAATACCAAGATCAAAACCAATTGTTGTTGGCGTTCTGTATCGACCTCCGAAAAACAATTTGTTTATCGAGAAATTGTCCAATATTCTTGATACATTAAAGAAGGATGACGAAATAATTCTTTTAGGAGACATGAATATTTGTCTTCTTCACAAATCGCCACTGGCTAAAAAATATATTGACTTGTTGAGTCTTCACGGGTTTAGTCAACTCATTAAAGAGGCAACACACGTTACACCTACATGTTCCTCTCTACTGGATCATGTTGGTTGTACCGAAGAAAACAACATAAGTCAAAGTGGTGTCATTGAGCTAGGTATTAGCGACCATTCTTTTACTTTCTGTACACGGAAAATATTAGACTGGCTATAGGTCATCACAGGACTAATGATATCAGATCCATGACAAAATATACAGAAGAGTCTTTCAATCTTCAACTATCTGTTGTTGATTGGTCAGGAATAACTGACTGTACAGATGAAAATGACTAAGGATATTCTGTCCCTAATTCAAGAGAGAAATATAGTATACAAAACATTGAGGAAAAGACCAAAAGATGAGACGCTTTAAAAAAAGATACAGAGTATTAAGAAATATGGTCCAAAGAGAGGTGAAAAAGGCTAAACTCGGTTACTTACAAAACAAGATAGAAGAATATAAACAAGATTCGAAAAGGCTTTGGCAGAATCTAAAAAGCTTAGGATTAAAAAATAAGAAGCGAAAAGAACAAGAATCTGTCATTAAAATTGATGGGGAATTATGTCATGATAAGATGGCCATCGCTGATGAATTCAATTCTCATTTTACAAATGTGGCTGCCAAATTAGTAGACAAACTCCCCCTTCCAAAGACTTTTTCAGCGCAGACAATGATTGTATTCGTGATTTTTACGAAAGAGAAGGTGTACGTGAAAACAGCTTTGAGTTATTACCAATCAGTGAACAATTTGTTTTCAAAGAGTTACGTATGTTGAATGTATTAAAAAGTACTGGGTTAGACATGATTCCAGCTAAACTCCTACAAGATGGTGCAAAGGTTTTATTTAAGCCTCTAAGTTCTATCTTGACGAGTATACTTTTCCAGAGGATATGAAAATAGCAAAAGTAACTCCACTTTATAAAATGAAAGATAAAAATGGATTTTTGGAATCTCTTATGAACTCGACGAGTCTCGTTTATTATTCCATTGCGACTTTACGTGCGTGCAGTGTTTATTCACTAATGCAGTCGCAAACATGAATTATTATATAATACTCTCACTTGATCAAACTTCAAACTTTCAAGACCCTTATAAGAGGTGTAAATCAAAGTATTAGGCCTACCATGAATCCATGATATTTCTAAATACTGCCTCTGTTCAGAATCCACCTATTAACATCCCTCACGGCACCCAAATCTTATCTCTCTGGTTCTCTCTCTATCTCATTGTCTCTGTCTATCTGTCCGTATTTCTCTCTGCCTTCTCTCTTTTTCTTTCTGTCTCTCCGGCCTTTCTCTCCGTATGCCTGTCTTCATGTCTCTCTTGCTCTGCCACCAACGAATCCCATTCTCCCTCCTTCGAATTCCCTCTCGTCATCTCCCTCCCATCTTCATGCTTTCCCACCTTCAACTTTGGTCTTTTTATCTATGCATCAGTCATTTTCTTGTTTTTTATCATTTAACCTTTTCTCCTTTTTAATACCCTTGGTCTTTATTCTTCTTCTTCTTGTTCTTCTCGTTCTAGTTTTCTTTTCTTTTCCCTCTTCTTCTCGTGTGCCCTCCTCTTATTGGAGGCCATTTTCTTCTTTCTTTCTATTTTTCACAGTTCAATTGCATGTCTATTCATTAATGAAAAATATTAAAATTTGATATTAGTATTAGCTTTCAGATGAATCGAGCTATAATTATCATTGTCATGTTTAAATTATATGTTTTAATGATATAGTGACGTCGGAGACTTTGGAGGCCATTTCTTTCTAGTTTTGTTTCCTCTGTTTTCTGTTGTTGTATTTTAGCATTAGGCCAAATAACAAAAATAACGTGTTTTTCGTCCCGAATTTAAAAAATGGAGAAGGCAGGGCATTACTTTTTACCATTTTGCACTTTTTTTTTGCTATTCTTTCCCAAGATGGCAGGGGCGGATCTAGCTTTTTGCTCAGGGGGGGTTGACCAATAATGACGATGCGGAGCATCGTCCACGAGCCGCGAAGCGGCGATCCGATTTTTTTTGGGTGTTTATTTGAACCCCGTAAGTGATGTTTTCCTGGCATCTATCCCGGCCCCCACTTAGTGTTATTTAGGGTACGCATATGCTCGTTCCCTCTTTTTGAAAGCACCCCCTATCTGAGGACTGCCAACATTTCCGAACCCCCCTTTCGCGGGCTTTTCGCGGGCTTTTCGCGGGCTTTTCCTGCCTTGGAGACCCCCCTAAATCAGGAAAAATGCTAAACGTACCCCCCTAAATTCGGAATAATTTCTCAGGAGTCCAAAGAGATGAGAGGAAAAAAGAAAAAACACCCCCTTTTTAAAGAAATCTCTGGGTGAAAAGTCAAATACACCCCTTTTTTAACAATTCTCGGGCCGGACTTTGTGAGCACATTTTTTTTTTTTTTTTTTTGACCCTCAAAAAAAATTTCAATTTGCACCCCCCCCCCCCCCCCTTGAGCGCCAGGGGGGGGGGGGGCCCAACCCCCCAAAAAGGTAAAAATCACGTGATTTTACATTATTTTTTTCTCAAGGGGGGGGGGGGCCCGGGCCCCCCGGGCCCCCCCCCCCCCCCTGGATCCGCCACTGGTATAACCTAGACTAAATCTGGTCCAGAATACCCAGGGACAGATCAAGCAAAGGACAGTGGTCCCAAAGATTAGTCCGAAGGTGCGGAGTACTCGCTGATTCTCCTCCTTACGTTCTTGGGTGATGTTGCCGCCGCAAGGTACACTGGATACGGAACGGTAGATGAAGAGGTAACAGAGGCCAGTGGCGACGGTGGTCAACCAGGAGAAGGAGAGGATAGCGATGTAGATCTTATCAAAGTCGATGAAGACAATGGACGAAGAGCAGGTGAACCCTAATGCCCATGTGACGATACATGTCATGATCAGTCGCGGTGTGGAGATGATGTTCCGAGAGCCAAAGGGGTCTACACGGATGGTGATGAATTGGTAACCGGTTACCAAGGCGATGCTTAGAAATGATACCATGATGGATGTTAACCAGAAGATTAACATGAAAGTATGAGCCTGGAAAGGAAGAAAATGATTGCAAGTTAATAGCGACAGTGACTAAAACGTACAACTAGTGTGAACAACTACCTCAACAAACGAATAGCTTATATTTTGTTAAATCTGTTTTACATAAATCAGACAGAATGTCTACGAATTTATTAAC